AATTTTCGCATCCAATGTGTGGATAAGTCTGAGCTTGTACGTTCCCTTCACCATGTTTGGGCCTGTCGCATCATGCAAGGTGTAGGTAACCGTAAAGGAGTTCCGACACAAGTGCCCTTTGACTTGCCGACCACCCGTGAAGCTTTCAAAGCGTTGCCACGGCATGTGCAGAAAAGCGCAGTCATGAATATCACTGGGGTCGTTGTGAGTGGCGCCAGAAATATCACAAATGGGGACCTCAGTGGGCCGATCAGTACTGTGCGTTGTGTCAACGTGCCGACGACGCCTTGCACCTTACCCTTCACTGAACTTGGTCAGCCGCAAGCTGTTTGCTGTAACGTCGGTGGACGCATTGCAGATCTTGTGTGGCAGTGGCTCCATACCATACAATGGCCGGATGGCCCCTCGGCTCCACATGATTGGGGTATAAGTTGGTTGGAGCTTCTCTTCAACTTCTATCTGTGTACTGGGCAACGATTTCCGGTCCGGATTGAGACGGTTAAGGGTCGTAAGACGCAGATCCAGCAGTATGTCCCTTTTGATTCCACTGAAGCGGTCGCTCGTCCCCTGCTATATCGGGCCTTAGAGGAACAGATTTCCCACTTGCGAATGACTGTGGCGCACCTGCAGAACGTCACTCTGTATCCTTTGACGCCTGTAGATTTGACACCATCTTCCTTGTCACCCACATCTCTTCGGGTCCTGGGGTTCTACCGTGCTCGCCAAGGATTCGCGGCCCGACCAGGCTTGCGACACGGACAGCGTACGGTTGAATTAGCCCACGCATGCTTGAAGAAGCAGGGATGTCCGACTAATCTCAACTTTGTCATGGACATGCCCCCCGGGCCCTATGACTTGCGCTGTGACCGTGACTTTAATGACAAAGACAAGAATCCACAGAGCCGCAGGGGTATGCGTGACAGGCTACGACGTGCTTTGCTGAAGGCCAGATAGGCCATCAGTTTGTGCCGCATCTCTTCTTGCTCGTGCACGGTGGTGTGATATATTCGGATGCCATCACGGCTCATGTTGAGCTGTGCTTTTATGAAGGACTCCTTGCTGCATAGCTGCCGGATTGTTGAACCTACTTTTCTGGAAGGATGTTTGATTGTCTGATCCAATTTGACATTCATTAGCGATCGGATATGCCCTCACATCTGGACATTTTCCGCCGGAGTGGCGCCTTTTTCGGATTGCTAGTGCTTGCACTCGCGGCGTTATGCTGGTGCCCTTAACTGTTGAGTTGCAGCTTGAGGCTCAAACCTTTCCTTTCCTTCCAATTTCACCCGCCCACCCAGGTTGGATGAGTGAGTGGCTACGCCTGCCACACCCAGTGGCTTACCTTTCAGTCTAGGTTCGGGCGGGGCGCTTGCCTGCCCTCACCCCCTGTAGCCTTCTTGGGGGACCCCCCTCTTTTCGGGGTCCTTTCCTTACCTTTGATGCTCTACCCCGTGTGCTGAAAAGGAGTGCTTGCGCTCAAGGTTCCTTTGTCAAGTATTTTTGAGAGACTCAAGCTGCTTAAGGGCACCAGGTATAAGGATTGCTAGTGCTTGCACTCGCGGCGTTATACTGGCGCCCTTAACTGTTGAGTGGCAGCTTGAGGCTCAAACCTTTCCTTTCCTTCCAATTTCAGGGCCTTAGATTTTCTCCCACCCGCCCACCCAGGTTGGATGAGTGAGTGGCTACGCCTGCCACACCCAGTGGCTTACCTTTCAGTCTAGGTTCGGGCGGGGCGCTTGCCTGCCCTCACCATCTGTGGCCTTCTTCAAAAACCCCCTCTTTTCGGGTGTGAACCCTTTTCTCCTTTTGGGGGTCCCCCCTTTCTGAGAAGGACCTTTCCTTACCTTTGATGCTCTACCCCGTGTGCTGAAAAGGAGTGCTTGCGCTCAAGGTTCCTTTGTCAAGTATTTTTGAGAGACTCAAGCTGCTTAAGGGCACCAGGTATAAGACCCGCCTTTTTGGGGTTGGTTTTGTTCCCCCTGTTGCGGTTTTTGGGTTCTTCTTTGTTGACGGCTTTTCGTGCCTCGCGGGGCTTTTCCAATCGGTTGGTGGCTCGTCTTACTCGACCACCCATGTCTCACATATCTTGTGTCATGCTTACGCCACGGCTGGGGCTTGATGCAGCGGCCAGACAGTGCCGCCTAGCAAAAAAGGCAAAAAAAAGGCAGCGCTGCGCGCGCTTTTCCGTGGCCAGAAGACCAAGCATCAGGAAAATGGACTGATGAAGAGCCGTTGCATTGAGGTATCAGCAATGCCCTCGCATTGCCTCTCCCTGTGCTTCGTTCCGCCGCAGGTGCAACCCCGCACTGAAGAGGGGGACTTTGCGCCTTGGCCTCAATCGCCTGTTTCCGGGGTTGCCTTGGGAAGCACTGAAGGAGGGGAACATCTCGCCCCTTGTCCTATTTGCACCGCAGTGCCCTAGGAAAGTGCCACCTTCCCAAGCAACCCGGTAAAAAAGGTGTGCGCCTTGCAGTCGGCTTTTGGGTTTTGGGTTCTTTGTGGTTTGAGGCTAGGAGCAGTGCGCAGGACCTTTAACGCTAAGGGTTTTCTTTCCCTTGTGTTTTATAGGTCTGGAGTGAATCTCCTACGCCGCCGCCATTTGGTGCTCCTAGCCCTCAAACTCACGTTTAGGACTCGCAGTCCTGGTTTCGTTTGAAACCCACCCACCCAACCCTTCTAAGCCCTAAGCTTGCTTAGGCTTCCCGGACAGTCCTCCAAGCGTGGAGCCTGCCGGACAAGAACTGGGAGCGCGCTCTCAGCTTCGTACCAGGGCCCGGACCCGCGGTCTGGCCCTGTTTGCACCCGCAGGTCCTTTGATGCGGGCGTGGGCACGCATGCCACGCCCCCCTTTTTGCATTTTAAAGCAAGGACACGCTTGTCTTGCGACATTGTTTTCCACAGAGGAGGAACATCTCGCCCCTTGTCCTAGGTGCACCGCAGTGCCCTAGGAAAGTGCCACCTTCCCAAGCAACCCGGTAAAAAAGGTGTGCGCCTTGCAGTCGGCTTTTGGGTTCTGGGTTCTTTGTGGTTTGAGGCTAGGAGCAGTGCGCGGGACTTTTAACCTTGTGGGTGCAATCACAGTTGTCATCAGCGGTGCGTCAGGGCTGGTGCCCGCCTCGCCCTACGGCCAAAGGGGGGCAGCACGCCACAGTTGAGCCGGTCTTTCAGACACCGAAAGCTTTGGCACCCGAGGAACTGGACCTCAAAAACCTTCTAGATTGCCTTACCAGATTCCTCTACCTGCGTGAGGTAGATGAGCTGCTTCGTCAAGAAACGCCGGCAGATGAAGAAGCCGTCGCGGTTGAACAAGCAGCCGGGGTTTCATCCGATTTGGATTCAGACATTCCGCCCGAGGATTCGTCGCCCTCCCCGGCCTTTCCGCAAGAGCGTTTGGTCGGCTACTCAGCTGGCTCAGCTCTTTCCGGGGTTGCTTGGAAACACTGAAGAGGGGGACAATGCTTCCTCCTGCTCCAGGTGCACCGCGTGCCCTGGAGGCAGTGCTACTTTCAAGCAAGCCCGTGAAAAAAGAGTGCGCGCCTTTTGGATTTGCGGGGTTCTGTGATGAGAGGGTTGTTTGGGTTCAAGCTAGGAGCAGTGCAACAGGCCTTAACAGACGTAACTAGGCTCGGAAGCGTTCGTCCACGCCCCGAAGGCGGCCTGCGGATGAGGGGCTGGCCCGTGCACGGCGAGTTGGGCAAATCGGCAAATTTCGAAGCGTCGCTCAGGGCCAAACGAGAAATGGTAAAAAGGGCGTGCCTCATGTATGCCACTGCTTGAGCCACTGACGCACATTGCTGCTATGTGTTGAAGCGTTGGAAAAGTCCTTCGCATGAACATCGTTTCGAAGCTGCATTTCAGAAACAGGTGTCTAGAGAGCCAGAGGCCAACAGATTCAGGAACCATTGTCCCTGTTGCCTCGTGGTTTTCAGCATTGTTTGATTTGGCATTGTGGGTTTGCGTTGCCCGTCGCTTTGTGCAGGAACATTGCAATTGCAGAGTTCTGTGGGAGCTTGGCTGGGTCTTGTGCCAGTTGAGTGCTTATTGGAAACTTCGTATGCTTCTAGCAAGCGAACAAAAGTCGCTTCATTCCTGAGTCGGGATCACTGTTTTGTTTGCAGCACTTGTTGTATTTGATCCTCATCCCGCTAGGTAGAAGTGTTTAAGTTCTTCCAGGAGCCTCAAATTCCTGGACAGGTGAAAGCTTCATATCCTGTTCAATCATGATCTGTGGCGCAATCAATTTGAATCGCCATGTCTGGCATGTTTCTTTTTGCATTGCCCCATACTCAGTTCGTATGGATCTTTTCAGCTCACAGCAAATCGAGCCTTTGCCAGTATACGTGCCCAGCCCAACATGCACATAGAATGCATGCACTTTGGTCCAGCGCATGCAGCAAACAGCTTATTGAAACCTGCATGTGCTCATGGAGCATGCCATGCTTCGTGGACGTTGACACATCGTACAAGGCAGGATCTACATGTGCGCCATAGGACCTGATGTGAGGTTTCCAGATCGCCAAAAACCATTTGGCTGCAAATTGTAATGCAACACAGCTCCCTCTCGCAGGTTCATGTCTGCAACGAGGAGGATGCGCTGGACGTGTTGTGGTATGGGAGCCCCGTTGCTGCCTTTTCCTCGGAGAGGGTTATATGCAAACCCGATGTCACATGTCAGATAGCGAAGTTGCAATTTTTGACCCATTCGTACCTGCTTTTGGCAGCGTCTGAAGGCCGCGAGGTCTTGGTTAGTGCGTTGTGCGTGCCTGAGCCGCTGGCATATAGCCGCATCAACATTGCCTGTGCAATTGCAAAGACCACGTTGGAATGAGTGCCGCCAAGGCGATGGTCTTGCTCTTAGAGTACTTTCTCTTGTCTTGCAACTTGCCCCTGCGGACCAGCTTGATTAAGCAGTTTTGTTGTCGTTTGTTTGTACATTGGTCCTTTCCGTGTTTTTCTTTTTGCTCAAGTAGCGGGGTTTGATTCCTTCACACTTTGACGCGATGGACGACTCGGACTACTACCAGCTGATCGGCGTGGACCGGAACGCCACGCTGCACGAGATCAGGTCCAAGTTCCGCGCCAAGGTGCTGGCGGAGCATCCGGACAAGGGCGGGGACCCCAAGAAGTTCCAGCTGCTCAACAAGGCGTACAACGTGCTGACGGACACGGAGAAGAGGCGGAGGTACGACAAGACCGGGCGCGCCGAGAAGACGGCGGAGGAGGAGTTTGTGGAAGGCTTCGCAGGCGGGAGACATCACTTCGAGCCCAGAAGCAAGGAACAGGACGAGAAGGCCATTGTCAGCTTGCAGGATCGCATCGTCTCTGGCAGCCAATCCCATGAGGAGGGTTTTGCTGAGTGGCTTCGTCAAAGAGACCAACAGGCCATGGTGCTGACTGACAAAGACTTCATGAAGACACACCTCTTCAATGCTTCCGAGCTGGCAACTAAGATCAATCACCCTGGCCCAGTTCAGCATGTGCTTGGGTCTCCCAAGACCGATGCTTATGGTCAGGCTCTGGGAGGAGCTGTGCAGGTGCAGGTCAAGCCGCGACCTTTGAAGAAGACCATCGATCATGACGAGGTTTTGGTTCGGATGCTTGCGGTGCCGGTTGACGACTCTATGGTCTACGCGGATCTGAAGAAAACTGGGGTCTGCCTTGGGATGACGGGTGTGGGAAGAGTGGAGCAGGCGGGCACCCGAGTGGAGGACCTGAAGCCGGAGCAAGGCGTCATCGTGCTGCCGAAGCCCTCCAAGTTCTCCTCCGCCCACCCCATCGGCACAGCCCGAACGCTGATCACCTGCAGCGAGGAGGACCTGCTGCAGATCCCTGCAGAGATCTTGGAGGAGCTGACGCCGGAGCAGATCTGCCTGACACCGACCATCGTGTGTGCCTACACCGTGCTCGAGCAGTTTGGCTCCAAGCTGAAGCCCGGGGACTCTGTCTTGCTGAACGCAGCGCACCTGTCTGCCTCGGGCTCCGCCCTGCTGCAGCTGTGCAAGCTGCTGAAGCTGAAGCCCCTCTGCATGCTGTCCCTGCCCGGGTCCCCGAAGATCCTGGCGAAGGGCGAGTACGGCTCCAAGGCCTCCTGGGCCGAGGTGGAGACGCGCGCGCAGGCGCCGGCCGCTCTGCGCCAGCAGTACGAGCGGATCAGCGAGCTCTTGGTGCAGATGGGAGCGGAGGAAGTCTTCCCAGATGCCGTGGCTCTGCTGCAATGGCGGGACCGGAACCAGAGGATGCTGCCCAAACTGGCCCTGGACGGCATCGCCACACGGGACTCCTGTGAGCAGCTCATCCACTGCTTGCAGTCCGGCGACAAGGACGCACAGATTGTTGTATATGGCCACGGAGTAGCTCAACCTCTCGAGATCTCCCCGCCATTGCTGGCAGCGTGGGGTGGCCGCATTGTCGGCTTCAACATTGCCAGATGGGTGCACTCCTTATCAGCCAACGCCAAGAAGATGATGGCAGTCATGGAAAACGTGCCTTGGCCGCAGTTCCCTCGTTGAAGTTTGATGTGCGATGTCGTGGCTCGGAGGTCACTAAGTTGGTCCGGGCCAACAAATTCGTGCTTGACACCGTGATCTACAAAGTCGGCGAGGATGCCATCAGCGATGCGTTCTCCCGAGCTGCCGATGCAGCCGACAACACCCAGGCCAGCGAAGGGAATGAATCTGGGTTAGGGTCGCGGCTAATCGGGCAGGTGGTCCTCAGCTTCCCCACTTTGCAAGAAGAGATGTCCCTGTCTGCCATGGAGCAGAGGGCAGAGAAGGAGAAGCAGGCGAAGGTCAAGGTCTGTGGCTCAGGGCTCTCAGGGTTTCAGGCTCTCAAGGCTGTCAAGTCTCATTGCACTGAGGAAGAGGAGGCGGCCAAGAAAAGGGAGGAGGAGGAACGGGACAAGCTGAAGTCCGATTGGCTGAACCTGCTCTTCACGGACCAAAGCGTGGCTGCCATGAGCCCAGAGGCCTGGCACAAGCACCACAAGCACCACGAGCACCACAAGCACCACAAGCACCACAAGCACCACAAGCGCCCCGCAACGCCGGAGTTGGACGGTGCCGCCTGTTTGGCGCGTTTGGCGCGTTCTCTTGGCCTTGCCTCGTGTCAGGGACCGCTGCCCACCGTGTTTGAGGGCCGGGCTCCCAGAGATGCCCAGCGAGCTCGCACCTAGCGTCTTTCCGTGAGGAGGCAACACCAGCTCGCCATCTGCGCTGCTCGTTTGGATTGGCGAGGATCCAAAGGCGGAGGCTGCAGCTGTTCGGGACCGCCTGTGCAACGGCCGCCGCTCTCATCACTTCAGTTGTGATTGGCGTTTGATTTCCAGGAGATTGCTGCTCAAGCTGGCAACGCGGCGTTCGTTTCCCTGGCCTGGTCGGAACATCAGGCTGGCGAGGCGGGAACAACTCAACCCGTGACAGTGAATGGAGTTCTGGGCCTGACGTGCAATCCACGACTTCAGGCATTTGTGGAGTTTTCGCTCAAGGCACCAGAAGTCGTGGATGGCTCATTCTACCTCCGGAATCGTGCTGGCTTTGAGAACCAGGACTTGCAACTTTGATTTTGTGGGCCCTGCATGGCACCGAATGAGTGGATCAGCGCTTAGAATACGACCATGGCTGAAGGTGTGCAAGCTTGGCCAGGACTTGGATTTGTTGCACGATGTGGAGCTTCTGGGTCGTTCCTTGGGAGAAACCATCGAGCCAAAGCTGGGAGAGCTTGGATTGGACTGGGACAAGGCGCCCTGTCACTCAGAATTGCGGATAATTGCGGGATTTCTGGGCCATCAGGTCGTGATCCTCGGCTTCGGCAAGGGTGCCGGCATTGCCCTCTACGCGTCGCTGCTGAACATCTTCCCGAAGCAGGCGAGATGCGAGATGGAGAGGTGAGCAACAATCCAAGCCTGAACAGGAGATAAGGGGCAGCGCCCGCTGTTGATTCTCTTACTGGGTCCTGATTGTGATTCAGTCCTTGTCCAGGTGTCTTCCCTGGTGCTATTCAGCCTGCGGCCTCAGCATCGCTTGTGATCTCCACAAATCTGAAGGAAACAGCCTGGTCCTAGCTTTTCTTCGTCAGCTTGCGATGTGAAGGCCCCATCGTCCTTTTCCCCTCTTTCCTCGCCCAGAAGATGGAGGCAAGTGTCAGTTGGTTCAGTTGGTTCAGTTGGTTGCCGGGGGTGCTTTTGGGCGTGCGCTGCGCAGGCGCTGCGAAAGGCGACCACAGGGAAGATGAAGGTCTTCACAGTCTGGGGAAATCGCAACAGGCCATGGCTCTCGCCGAGTTTCTCGCAGCTCGGGTCGGCATGCGAGGTCTACGCCGGGCACCTACCGGCAGCTGCTGGCGCAGACTTTGAAAAAGGCGAAAGACGTGCACTGCACGCGACGGCCTCAGACATCTGCACAGGCGTCAGGTACATTGACCATATGGATGCCCCGCAGAATGAGTGTGGAGTGGTTGTAATGTAAGTAATGTATGAGTTTGGAGGCCGGACACCATGCCAGATGCTGACCACTCCTTCGATGGAAAGAGAAACTTGCCCGCAACAGGTTTTCAACAGAGGATGATTGCTTGGCTTGCTGGACACTTCCAGCCACAGAGCATTTGGTTTGGATGCTTATATACTTGCACAGATTTCATGTCAAGCTGTGAAGCTCTGGCACAGAACTGAGGTGTGGGCGTGCTCACATCCATGTTGCCCTTGTGCCTCCCACGATGAGCTGCCAGAAGAGCACCTGGGCTTGCAAACCTGGGCAAACACCTGCGCGCCGCGTCTGTTTTTGATCCAAGGCATTGTACTCCATGGTGTGAGCGAACAAGTTTTGGCAGAAGTAGGACAAATGTCCTTGCTGGACAGACTTAAGAGGTGGCCGGACAAATTAGAGAGGGAAGCCCTACTCTGAAAATTTGGTGTAGCGATTCATGCTGTTGATGGTTCATCCGGCAATGCCACCGATTGGAATGAGTTGCGGGTGGACGCAGTCCTGGAGTTTCCCATGTTTTGGCACACTCTTCCCACTAGAACACGGAGCGATTAAGCACTTCGGCTGATCCGGGATGCAGTCCCCTGATGGCTCGAGCGAGATTTAAAAAGGAGCGACGTGCGTTTCCAGGTTCATCAGGTGCATTGCTGCGTGCCGCTTTGCCAGCGCGGTGCCTTCCGGATCGGCGAGGTGAGAACATACTCCTGGAGCCCAAAGAGTCTGGCTCAGGCGGGAGCTTATGATGCAGCACCTTTTGTTACCACTGCATCTGTTTTGCTGCCATTTTTTTCGTTTTTGCCGTCCTTGCGGGCTGCAGGAGATAAGGACGATAAGGGGTGGTCTTGTTTGAGGCAGGTTGCCTGCAAGCTAATGCCGCTGTGGGAGCTAGCTTCAGGTTTCCCGAGTCTCCATGGCATAGAGGCTGCTGGTGGCACGTGCGTACCCAGGCTCAAGAGTGGCGTTGTGGGCATTTCGAGTCCTGCACTTTGAGGCACCTTGCTCCTGGAAAAGAGCCAAGCCTTGTCGCTGGCCACACAATTTGTGCTGATCTCAGCTCAAGGGCTCGGGAGAAGCTTCCTGCGCGGCTGGCCAGGGCCATTGCGTGTTGGTGCCCTCTCAGGACCGGGCGACCGGGCGACAGGGTGATGGTGTGACTGCGAGATTGCTTCGTGCCAGGACCTGGCCTTGGCGTCCGGAGTCTTGATCGACGTGCCCGCCTCACGCTGGTGCCCTCGTGACCTCGTGACCTCGTGACCTCGTGACCTCGTGACCTCGGTCACGTGTCAGAGAGGCCGGCAACGCCGTGGGGCATCCCGTGGGGCATCAAGCTGATCAGCCAGGCCGGCTCTCCGCGGTGAAGTCTGAAGCGGGTTGTTGCCCTTGTTTGATAGGCGATGGGGCCGATGGGGCCTGGGTGTGTGTTGGCCCCAACGATCCCGAGCCACGCTTGGATGACTTGAAGGCCACCCAAATGCTGAGCTGATTGCACGTTCAGAGTGCCACGAATTGCAGGCAACCCACTTCCGATTGGAGGCACACCTAAAGTCCGGCCGTTCTGTCTTCGTGGAGGCGGAAACTCACAGATGCGACGACAGAATGTTCGAACTTCCCCTGGCCCGAGATGGCGTGCCGTGACGGCGCACCACAGGCCCTTGATTCCTGCTTGAGTCAACAATGCACTTGTGTTTCTTGCCTGATCACGCGGGTCTTAATTGCACCTTTCCAGGCCTGTGCTGGAGAGCTTCCAGCGACGGGCTCTGTGATTAGCCTCGCCGCTTCGCTGCATCTCTGCATTCGAAAGTTGAGGCTTGAGTGGCTGAATGTGGCCAAGTGCCAGCTGAAATTGCTAGTCTTTCCGAGGGCCCCAAGGCCTCCGTGGCCTCCAAGACCTCCAAGGCCTCCAAGGCTTTGCATGGAACGCAGAGCACCTGAGCGCCCGCATCCTCCCAGGACTTCGCACCGGGCCGCTGGGTGAGGCTGTCCCAAAAGTGCACGGCCACGGCCTCGTGCGATTTCCGATGTCGGAAGTTTCGTTTCAGAACCAGGCCGTGCTGGAACTCTGTGGAGACTTGCGCGGATACTGGATCTTTTTCGGAGGAGTGCAAAGGGAGTGATGTTTGAAGAGTTGCTGTTGCTCCACGCGACATCGCCCATAGGCTTGTTCGCCCTGATGATAGGCCCACGGCTTGAGCCTCAGCTCTGGCAGGCAAGCCGCAGGCTGCTCAGCCCAAGGCATTGTGCCGCGCAGTACAAGTCTTCGAGCCGCAGCGCAGCGCTCAAGTCTCGCGGGACATTGTGTTGATGTGACTAGTGTTTTGCAAGGCAGCTTGGCGGAAAGAGAGCGTTGCTTCCTGCACGACGCTGTGGTGGGCAAGGCGCGCCAATGCTCGCCAGTGAGCAGCAGACTTGATTTGTTTCTTAGCCGGAGCTTGGACCAAAGCTGCGCAGATGGGAGCTTTCAGCTTTCACTCAGGCCAATCACCGGGGCTTCACTGGACTCACAGTGCGCCGATCAGGGCTTTGTGGCTGTTGCAGTATCACAGCGGAACCGGCAGCTTTGAAGCGGCCTCTGCTACTGCTCTCTTTCATGGAGGTACTGCACCGGGCCTGGGCGCCAGAGGTGCGTTTTGGAGCTTGTCCGGGCTGGAAAGTGAGGGGCTGTGCAAAGTGAGGCCGCAGGCTTGCCCTTGCAATCTTCCGGCATCAAGGCCCGAGCTGTCCTCGTTTTTCAGTGCCGGGCAACGTATCACAGGTTTACAGGGAGGACGAGGTGGTCGTGCAGCGCCTTGCAGATGCCGAGTTGCGCTGGAGGATCCTGATGATGGCCGATATCTCAAAGCTGTAAGACGTATCCAAGTATCAAATGCCAAATTTCGTCAGAAAAACAACAACAACCAAAAACATGAATCACATATTATTCATCATGTTTCATCGGCAAAATTCGTGCCGAGGATGAGGATCCCTTCACAGGCCTGGGCGCCAAGAGGGCAACACACCAACTCAGCAACTCGAGTGCTCGAAGGTGACGAGAGCGAGTCTCCGAGGCCGCGAGCCGCGGCTTTCTCTCTTTTTCTGTATGGTTTCCGGGCCGTTTCTCAGCTTTTCTGCGAGGCCGGAAGCAGAGGCAGAGGACGCGGAACGAGACCTGAGTTGTGCGCGATGCACCTAAAAACTGGACTCATTGCGAGGGATACTGAAAGTCTGCGCAAGATGTTTTGCTCCGGGCTTTGCTGGGGCCTCTTGGGTGTGCAACAAGCCATGAGTTATATACGCACCGCTGTTGTGTGCGGAAGAAGTATGTTTGTGCGCAGGAGGTGCCTGAGAACTCTCAGGTGGGGGAAGAGTGACGCAGCTTCAAGCCGTGCATTCACCTTTGGAGGTTACTACGAAGACTTTGAAGCGCCCTGTGTTGCTTGGCTTTTGCATCTCTCCCTGCCATGGTAGTTGCAGATACTCCCAGAACGACTTGGGCATTCTGAATGTACTTTGCTGATGGGTTGCAGAAATCTATTTCTTGGACTCTTGCTGACTGATCGATTCACACAGCCGGCACCTGTGCTGTGCGTCCACTTGAGACATTTTGAGACACCTGAGGCCTGCCGCAGAGAGCGATGCCAAACGCAGGAAGGACCGCAAGTTTGGACGGCACGAGTGAGAGAGAGAGAGAGAGAGAGCCGGTGGCGCCAGGACGGTGCCTCGGGCGAGGCATCTGCAGGACAGCTGCTTCTTTTTGAGCCCGGGCTGGCAAGGAGCGGGCCAAAGAGAAGGAGAAGGAACGAGAGAAGGCACGAGAGAAGGACAAGGAGAGGCAGAAAGCAAAGGAGCGAGAGGAAAGACAACGCCTTCAGGTGGCAGCTCGATTTGACTTTTGTTTCCTTGGCACGTCTTTGTGCAGAACATTACCTCCTATTGCTCAGGAACGACTTCAGAAGGAACGCCAGAGGCGCAGCGTTCTACTGTAGCAAGGGGGATGACATGGGACACTCATTCGGAAATTGGGCGTGCTCACCAAGATCATGCGTCACTTGGGGACAAGCATTGACTATGCCTTGCATGTGCTCTCGGCTTGCTACTTGACTCCGAAGATCACTTGCATGAGCCTCAATGTGACCTGTTGCCGTGCAAGGGATCGGGAACGAGCCCGGGAGAGGCGGGTTCGGCTTTGCTTGTGCTGTGCCTTTCGCTCGTTGCATCCGTTTTTGGTTTCACGGAGGGAGCCCGCAAGAACTGGCGACCGCGACAAGGAGTGGGAGGTGGAGCGCGCACGGGAACGCAGCTCGACTAGCATTGCTCCATGGGTCTGTGGCTTTCTCGTGATCGCAGCCTGAGGACAGAAGGCTCGAGAGCGCCGAGACGGGGAGCGCGAAGAGCGTGAGAGGCGCTCGAAGCTTTTGCTACCCGCTCTGTCCGTGAGCGCAGAGTGGACATTTTTCACCTGGGAAGCTCTCGGATCGAAGCTCCACGTCCAAAGCCGCCATGGACTTTGATCCCTGCTTGAAGGAATCGAGTGATGAGGACTCGGAGGTGGTAGATGAAGTGCCGTGGGTGATACGCCACCCTGGTTGGACCAACTTTGTGCTGGCCTTCGTCTACATGTCCCTGGGAGTTGCCTTCTTAGCAACCCAGGAGGGGTGGTCGACCACGACTGCCGCCTATGTTGTGGTGCAGATCATCACAACAATCGGATACGGGGATGTCACGGTGACCACCTATGGCGGTATGGTCTTTATGACAGTCTACGTGCTTCTGGGAACCGTGATCATTGCGAAGGTTGTGAACGATGTGTGTGAGGCAATCCTGGACTCCGCAAGCAGCAGGGTGGATGAAAGCTTGGCAAAAGTGGAGCACGCCATGAGCAATCGCCTCTCTACCCACGTTTTCTCTCCTGTCACGCATCGGCTCCTGACAGCGGTCGCAGTGTACTTAATCATGGTGGCAGCTTGGGTCATCTTCTTTTCGACCTACGAGAGCTGTTCCTGTTCCTATGGGGTTTCTAAAATTGCTGGCTGCGCGGCCGACCGCTGCACTGAAACCGATGGCGCGACAAAGACCTGGGTCGACTCCATCTACATGGCAGTGATCACATTCTCCACAGTGGGCTTCGGAGATTTCTCGCCCAAGTCTCAGCTTGGCCGAGTGGTGTCCTGCGCCTTGATGATACTCGGGGTGCTCTCCTTTGCGAACTTGGTGAGTGGTGCTTCGGAGGCCTTGAGATGTTTGCAAAGCCCGCAAGGGAGATGTTGGTATTTGGTGAACCCAAGGGGGCTTTCTAAAGTCAAGTTGAGATCCGGCAATTGGGCCCAACCCTGGAGGCTATAGCCGCGCGGCAACGCTACTACACCAACAGGATGCGGCTTTCGGTGAAGGGCTTTGAAGAGATCGACTCGAATGGCAATGGTACGATTTCGCGGACAGAGTTTCGCTTATATATGCTGTTCCGGCAGGGCCGCGTGACCAGTGATCAGCTGCAGCAGCTTGACAGGCTCTTCGACTGCATGGACAGGGACAGGACTGGCATGTTGTCCTTCGAAGAGATCAGTAAGGGCTTGTTGGACATCGATCTGCAGTGACCACTGCTGAGCGCGGCCGACGCCATCGGGCGCGTACAATAGGATCAAGAATGAGTGATAGTGCACGCAGAACAAAAAGGCATTCCCACGCAATGGTTCACATCCTTTGTCTTGCCTTGGCCGCACAGACCGTGGCCAGGAAAGAGCTGGGCCGGGCATGAGACTTGGCATTTCTTCTGCGGTGGGTTGTGTCTTGGCGCCCAGAGGAGAAAGACCGCAAGAGGGAGAAGCCGCAGGCCAGGCATCCGGATCCGAGCCTGCTATACGTGATATACGTGATGGTGCCAGGAGCCAAAGAAGCACCTGGAAAGGCGAGGCTACACCTAACTTTGGACCTGTGATGCAGCCAGTCTGAAAGGAGCCATGCATTTGACAAGCAAGCCACAGCGGAGATGCCGACACTCGAGCCGCACTCCGAATTGCCGTGCCGTGACTTGCCAGAAACCCTAGCATCTCAGGATGGTTGGCGGCTACCGAAACTTGGGGCGTCTCCTGCCTGTCTGCCTCATTTTTCATTTGAGGCCTCAGCGCACTCGCACGCCAGGCAGACGCTCCCTGCTGGCGCGACGGCTTTGCTGGCCGCTGCAGTGAACCAGGCGAGGCTCCAGTTCGCCTTCTGAGCCTTCCAGCAGCTTTCAGCTAGGCGCGGATCGAGCTGAACCCAGAAGTGGAGACCTTCCTTTCGATGAACACAGCCAGTGCCTGAAGGAACGTGAACTGACGTGAACTGGCACAGACGCCGAGGGGCAGGGTGGGCAGGTCACGCCGGGGCAAACGCCTTCAGAATCGCCGAATGGATTCGAGGTAGAGGCTCATGCTGCGAGCAAGCTCCGAACCTTGCCGTCAGGGGCTTTTGCTGCTTCGGGGTCATGCTTCAAGCCAGCATAACATGTTAAAAAAAATCAAGTCAGAAGTTTTCAGAACAGATCGAGTCAGAGTTCAAGGCGAAAGCTGCAACGCCAAGTTCTTGACAGAGGCTCCTTAATGGGTGCCCGTGATCCGCCCGCTGCTTATCCAAGGAGTTCAGGGTGCATCGGGTGCATTTCTTCCGTTGGCCTTCCTTTATGCGCTGTCACTTGCCCGCGTGCTTGTCAATTTGTGAGAAGGCTTGTGCAATGCGCCGCATGAAGTCTTTTATCAAACATCTTTTGGCTCAAGTAAGTTGGAGAACATTAAAGTAGAGCAGAGTCGGTCCTGATTGGAACGTGAAGGCGTGCTGACCAGTTTTCGCGGAAGCGTCGGAAGCACTGGAAGCCTCGAGTGTGCGCAGCTAAGTACCACGCGGCGCCGTCTTGGCTGCTCCTGGGGGTGCTGTTGGGGGGTCCCACGTGACTGGTCGCATCGATGATTGTGGCGGGACAACTCGTGGAGGAGGAACTGAGGCGTAGCGCGCGGTATGTGTGGAGATGCTGTGCAACTGTTCATGATTGCGCTTCCGATCCAGGTCAGAGACAAACCGGGACGTTGGGACTCCGAAGTGCTTGGCGTGCAGGCTGGCGCGTGCCAGAAACGAAGCGAAACGCCCTCACCTTCCTCAGTTCCTGCGCTGCGTGATTGAAGTTGGTTGCGGTGCTGTGGCATGTGGGCGCGTTGGGTGTGCTTTTGGTTCAGCTGCTTGCTGCGGTCACGCCTGAGCTCGAATAGCAATATTCTTGTTGCGCCAAAGAACTCCAACATGGCATCCGCTGGGATGGCGGGGCGAATGGATTTCAAGAACACCGCTGGCATGAGCTCGGGAAAATCGCAACTTTGGCGCTTCAAGGGAAGTTGCTCGGGCTGTCCAGTGGCCGCATGTGGTAGACGATGTGCTGGCTACAGTGTCAGACATCCGCGGAACGGACTTGAAGCACACAGGTCCTGGTTGGTGTGATTGCGCAAGATGGACAGGTCCCGCAGGTGAAGCACGGTCTGTCCTACACGCTGTCTAGCTTGGCTCCCATGTCACCTGGTGGGAGAATTCACACCTCCCCTCACCACGCATGAGTACAGGCGCTTTGTTTGGCCCTGCGTCGTAGGGCTGCTGCGGTCACACCCCTGCGTCGTTGCGAGCTCCGGCGTTTCATATAGAGATGCTACGCGCGGGCCCTTTTGAACAGCGCCGTGTGGACACTGCTGGCGCCCGAGTTGCTACTGTTGATCCCAGCCGTCGCCGTAGCAAGGGCAATGGCTTGAGCTGCGTGAACGCGCGTCTCCACTGGCAGCTGTTGCAGCGGTTGCTGCACGCTACCTACGCTTGTCTCCGAGCGGGTTCTGTTCTGTGCAGCTTGCGACAGGGGTAGCGCTTTTTGGTTTGACACTCCGAGCGTCTCCCTCATGACTGGGCATGCAAGGAACATAGGGACTACAATCCTTTGATAGGAGTGTCAAGAGCAATCTGCGCGCAGGCCGCTGCCCCGATTAACATGGTTCCTGGCCCGCCAGATTTCCAATGCTGGCTGTGCAAGCCTTCCTGCGAGTTGCTCAAGCCCCTCAAGAATCACTCCGCCACGCGTGGGTCATTTGCTACCCGGCGTGTCATGACCTTGCGCGCTTGACCAAACGTGAGGTGGAAAAACTTCCAGCTTCGCACTTGAGGCAAAGCCTGCGGCAGGGATCAGGCCAAGCCTGTTCGCAAATTAAGCCAGCTTGAGCGTTCCAGATTATTCCCACCGCGTTCCCGCCGTAGGCGTCGATGCTTCGAACTGCGTGGGAAACCAGCCACTGACCTTTGCAAAAACGTAAGAAACAACAAAAACACCGCGTGCGCGCACACGCACGCGCGCACGCACGCGCACCCAGTGGAGCGCTGTTTGACCCGTCAGCTCTGAGGTCGGCAGTCTTGATTTCTCGGGTGCGTCAGCTGCTGATTGGGGGCGTGCGATTGGGAATTGGGACGTTTCCTTACCTGAGGTGACGCGATGATGTCCTCAGCGCAAAGTTTGCCATCGATGCCCATGGTGACCATGACCTTACCCAACGGCCAGCAGGCTTGGCAGTTCAGAGGTTCGGAGAGGCTGAGGCCAGGTTCGAAACCGTTTTTGTCCTCGTTCCCTTTCTGTGGCCCTTTTTTATGCTCTTCTTTGTAAGTCCGATCAACCCACCCTGAGCGACGTATTGCTGCTGAACACGCTGAACTTGCAGAGTTCTGCCAACTGTGATCCAACTGCAAAAGGGCGTCCGACCAACATACACCGAAGAGGCACATGCCGAGGGTCGGACGCTTGCTGCAGCCGAAAAGATGCAAACGTTCTGACTTGAAAAGTGACATGCTTTGCGCGCGTAGGTGTGTAGGTATGGCTATGGTCTGCTATGTCTCTTTCTATGTTTGTGCCAGCATGTAGGTGTATGTGTATACGTGTTTGCCTATGTCTATGTGTAAGTCTGTATGTTCGTGTATGTTTATGTCTACGTGCCTGTATATGTGTTTGTATATGTATATGTCTTTGTCTTGTGTCTGCGTATGTCAATGTCTATGTGTGTGTGTATGTGTAGGTGTATCTATGTGCATGAGTAAAGGCAATACGCTGGGTTCTTTGCCAAGGGGATCTAACCAGGCAGCCAAAAGGAGCCACCGACAATCCGGACATATCGAAGCTTCGGGTCCTGCGCCAATTTTGCATAAGCAGAACATGATGACATGCGAGCTCTCGAGGTGCACCCAGCAGCGGAGGCGCTGATCCTGCGCCATGGCCTGGACGCGCAGTGCGCGCAGCAGCTGCGGCAGCTGCCGCTGCAATTGCAGGCCGGCTGGACAATTTGGACATCGTGTTGGTATTCTCAAGGGCCAACAGGATCTCAGGCAACTTGTGGAAGCTCACCACACTTTGACTAGCCCTCGACTTCGGATCCAGCCAGTGCGGTGTCAACATGACGAGATGTTGGGGAAGGAGTTTCAGGAGCGAGAGCGAGAGAGAGAAACAGAGGCGGAAGTCCGCGGACGTCGCGCGCCCCGATGCCACGCAATCATGGGACTGCACCACTTCCATAATTTGTTTGGCGGTTTGCTTTGAATCCGCTCTGTTTGGTCCGGAATCTGGCTCAATCTTCCCAGTTGCAGCTGGCGCGAAGTGAGAAGCACAGCGCGCGTCGAGTCCAACGCCAGGCGGTGGCCGCAGAGCTGCCGGTACACGAAGCCCGGAACCCCTCGGCCTTCGTCATGGCCGGGCGCCCGACAGCCGGAAGCTTCCCGGAGTCATGTGGAGTCATGTCGAGTCATGTCGAGTCATATCGAGTCATGTGAGGCTCAGCTGCAGCTGCCGAAGTTTAAGCAAGCCGCCAGGGCCATGTGCGGGTCTCAGCGCAAGCAAGTTCTCAGTGAAGTGCATGTGAGCGGAGGAGCGCGCAGCTGATTGGTTGACCTGAGCATGGCAGGCGGCTGTGAATGTTTCGTTTCTGAACCAGCCCAAAGTGGCTGGGCGAAGCTTGTGATCAGTTTGGCAATGAAGGCGGATTGCTTTGCTACTCTTGTTTCATGACTGACGCATGCTGCCAGGCCTGAAGCTCACACTTTGCCTCACTTTGATTAAACAACGCGGTTCAACTTGCCAGCGTACCGCTGCCGTTTGATGCCGTTTCCCCATGCGCGAAGAGCAAGGCCTGGTTGTGGAGTTGAAACACAGCTACACTGCGCTACTGCGCTGCTGCGCTACTGCGCTGGCGCAGGCTCAGGGGGTCACAATGGATCAACCCCTGACAGGTGGGCCGTGACGGAATGAGTTTTTGCGATTGTTCTGCCTGAGCCGTCGCTGTCACCCGCCAGCCCGCCGGTTGAGCTGGGCTGACCAGGTGGGGAGTGAGTGCCGAGTGCGGAGTGCGGATTGCAGCTCGCATGCGTAGCCTTGCATTTGACAGAACGCAGCCCCACTGGCTTCTACCATCCCGCAGGTGCCGGTTCTCATGTGGTCGCTCGGGTTTGCGCAATTCGATCCGCAAGCGCTGGGATTGCCCTTGAGATGGATATTTTATGTTGTCATGAACAATTTAGCTATCTGCATGCTTCTCTGAAAATGATTGGGTAGACACAACAGTGCGCCTTTTTGCTGGCAGAATGCAAGATTTGGCGAGCTGATCCGAGCCACGGGTTTGTGCCGCATTTTCCGTGATTGGATGCCGCCGGTCTGTGCCAGGCACCTGCTCTGCCACATCCGGAGGTCGAAGAGGACGATGACGACGTGGACGGGCGCGCTGAACCGCTGAGGCCCGGCCGGGGGGGGGAACGGGCGGACGCCAGGCCTGGCGTCAGGACGCTGGAGATGGGAGTTCTGATGCAGGGGTCCGGGACCTCGGTCGTTCGGAGCTGTCCGTTTCGAGTTGAGAGCGCTGAGGTACGTTTACAGGGCAGCAGTAGATCTACCTTCGAACGGCCAATTAGTGGAGGCCGCAATTTGCAATTTGGCCCAGGGCAAAAGTGGTGACTGCGTGGCTGCCAGGTGGTGGGGCCTCTCCCTGCCGGCATTGAAATCCTGGCGCGCAAAGCATGCAATGCTTGGCAAACTTGCGATTGTTTTCGCGAGGTGAAGGATGAGGGCAGTCCAGAGCATCCTGCAGCCTTGTGGCGGGAGCATTGAGAGAGATTTGCCTTCCTCCTTCCTGCTGGAAGAACTTTTGTCCACGCTTCGAAGATGTCGATTTGAGCTTCGGCAGGGTGGAGGCGGAGCTGAAGCAGCTGGGCGTTTTCTATCACGGCGCGGCCGCCTTCGCACCGCTTCGCTCCGCCTTCGCCGCCTCTGCTCACGTGTCATGTCGGGAGTGGGCGTCAGGCCTGATTGTCAGAATTGCTGGCGGCGAGTTTGCAGAGGTGGTAGTGAATCTGAAGGCAGGGGTTGGAGTAAACAAATGTGGAAAATCGGTCCCCATTTTGGGAAGGAAACCAAAGACTAAACCCGCGGTCCGCTGGTTGAAGTTTGACCCATGCTTTTGACCACCCGTGTCTCGTGCGAGGCATGTGTCATGGGTCCCAGAGAAGGGCGCCCTTCCAAGCTCGGAGCCGAGACACTCCCATTCCTCTCAGTGCACACGCCTCACACGCCTCACGCACGCTCAGGGTTTACCACAACGTGGAACTCATAAGAGCATTGGCTCGGGAGGAGCTGCTGTCTTGTGAGTTGTCCACTAAGACCGATCCCAGACCTTTGAACCTTCCGCAGATTTGGGGTGACTCATGTGACCTCACTGCACTTGTAGCTTTCGTTTTCTCCTCTTGGCATTTATCGTTCACGCATGATCCATGAATTGATTCGCATTTTGTGGAGCTTGAGATTTATCGGAGACTTCGGACGTGTGGGGCTTGCGTTCCGGAGCACGCAGCGAGGCTTGGGCTTCTCATGTTCCATGCAACCGTTTCGGCATTCCCCGTCTCATTTGTTCCCTGGAATGTTCTGAGTGACAGCGTGACTTTTTTCCGCGAGATGCGGAATCCTCGGCGGGCTTTGGCTTGGTGCCTGGTGCCTTGGCTCTTGGCGCCGGGACGACCGACCTCAGTGGCCTCCGTGGCCTCAGTGGCCTCGGCCTCCAAGAGGCAGGCGCTACTTGCGCGGCACGTGCTGGCCTGGGACCAGCTGCTCGCGCGCCTGGAGCGCGGGCAGATCCGATGCCTGCTGGTTCTGTGCGGGGCCCGGCCCGGGAATCTGGGCGCCGTGCTGCGGTCCAGCACGCTGCTGGGGGTCTCCGCGGTGTGCGTCCTGGGAGAGCCGTCTCGTGCCGAGCTGGACCGCGCGCTTCGCTTCTCCATGGTGGAGCAGAAGAGCCACTGGGACACACTGGTGGTGCCCGTGCCTTCCAACTCCACGCTCCTTGAGCTGAAGCAGCGCGGAATGACTTTGGTTGGCTTGGTGGCAGATGACTGTGACAGCATACGGGATGTGGATCTCTCTGGCAAGAAGCTGGGGCTGGTCTTTGGAGCAGACGAGGAAGATGGCCAAGCCTTTCCAGATGGTGTGGCAGAGCATATCGACATGCTTGCATGCATACCAATGAAGAGCTTCGGAGTTGGCACTTCGAACCCGGATACTCTGAACTTATCTGCTGCTGCTGCCATTGTGGCCTATGAATGGCACTGCCAGCAAAAACAGCCATGGTGGTGCCAACTGTTGCCCAAGTGGAGAAAAGGGCCAACATACGCCACCTCGGATGACCGTCTTTTTTACTGGGAAGCACATACATTCGCACGCATTGCTTGAATCAGGCATAGCTGCATCCCGACGTGCTCTCCCGAACTTCTGTATGTCATACCCCGGAACCGCTTCCTCTCACGACTCTCGCGACTCTCACGACCTTCCTCTCGCATGTCCAAAACGAGCCCGCGCCCCGGAGGAGGTCCAAGACAACTCCGAGGGCAGCGCGTTCAGAAGAGCGGCGCAGCTCATGGCCGGGCAGCCCAGGCCTCCAGTTGGACATCCCAGGTCTGCTTTGCCATTTTTTCATTCTCCGGTTTTTTTCATTCGCCAGCTTTTCGGGAAGATGTTTGGTTCCCGTGGTTCCCGAGCCGGGCTCGATTCGATGTCGATCGAGGCCGAGGATGATGAAGACGACGGATAAGGACAGAGACTCAGACGTCGGGTCCACGCCCGGCATGCGCAAAGCGCGCGCAAGGCGTGCGCAAAGCGGCAGGACACAACGAGTCCTGGTGACGGGTCCCCGCAAGGTGCACCAGACCAGGACATGTCGAGTGTTTCCTTCTCACAGCCAAGGCTTGTGTCGTGGTATCAACATTGCGATGTCTCCCGTGGCAAGAGGTCTTTTTCCAATGCTTTGGCAACCAGGCACTTGCGTTGCCTGTGTACACGTGTGTCTCACATCGCATTAGTGTTTGGCTACTCACGGCTGTCAATGGCCAAGCTCAGAAATTGATTTCTGACAGACATGATTGCCCTCGAGGGCCTTCTGCGCACACCGGAATTCGGTGGGACTGGCTTTCCCAAAGTAGTGTCAATTGGAAGGTCAGCGAAAGTGCTGGTCCCTTAAAGTATTCAACATGCGCGTTTCCTGGCTGTTCTTGCTTAGTCGATTAGGGGAAAGTCCACGCACTGTGTGGTATGCTGGCAGTCACCTCGACTGTAGCCCTGCCGCGATTGGTTTTGAGACGGCCGAATGGGAGCTTGCCGCTTTGGGAGTTCGCGGACCGAGCGATGCCTATTGGCAGACCGGTGAATGCGGCACCCTGAGCCCGGAAGGCTCCGCATCTCTTGTTGCGCCGAGTGTTCGAAACCCCACGGCTGACACGAGCGCAAGGCCTAGGAGTCAACTGTGGAACCGGGCGTTGTCATTGCTATCGGAGGCAGCAACGAGCCAACCTCGAATCTTTAGGATGAGAGTAGGTTGTGTGTTGCGGCATTATGTGTCGCGGCATCCAGTGACTGGTGAGCGCGTTGAAAAAGGCAGCGGCAAGAGAGACGAGAGAGAATGTTGGGCTTGGCAGAGACCAGAGATACCAGAGATGCTCACAACACAATACGTCGTAGCCAAGAGATCTGGCGCAAAGGCCATTAGGGGCTTGGGAAAGGCGGCACGTTGAATAACTTGTTGCGTGGGCCTGGGATATGGCCGTGACACGACAAGTCTCTGCCAAGCGACCATCCCTGACTGGCTTCACGCGAAGTGCCTTGCGGACAATGCTTGCAGACGTGTTGCCTGCCTGAGAGGACGGACATCGACCCGTTTTGCTTGCCAGCACCATGAAGTTATCCCAGTGGAGTTGCGTCGCTGTTCGCTGATGCTGTTTGACATTCAGCTTGCCAAATCAAAGAGGGAGCCGAATATTCGATGCCCGGTTCATACTTCAGCCTGCACTTGTACATGTATGCATAGAGCGGAGACCAAGCACAAGACCTCAGCCGATGTTTGTTCCGCAGCTAAACAGATCAGTTGTTTTTGTCGTACGCAACCAACCGCTTTCTCCTTGATGGCAGACGTATGTCATGGGACATCCGAAAAGCAAATGCTGTTTTGTAGGAAGCCGAAACCAAGCTGAGCCCAAGACGCGAGCATTCCATGGCCTGCGACTAGCGTGCCCCTTGGCCGAATTTTTGGAGTGCCCCTTTTGGTGCGCTGCGCTCAGGTTTCCTAATGGCCGTTCTGCGGCCAATGAACCCAACCCCGATGGTTAGCTGCTCAAGGCGTTACGTGCGTGAGTACAGGGGACTGCAGCAAGAAAGCAAAGTATCCAGTAGTCTATGGGGTCTCACCAAATATCCCGCAAGAAACAGGGGACTCCATTTTTCCCCATGTCCTGTAGAGCAACAGTAGATTTGATCGCGGTTCACCCCAACTGGAGAAATGGTCTCGTCTGAGGTGTTCAACCCTTGGAGTGGACCAGTGCGGCGCGCAGGAGGGGGCAGACGGCATGTGCCACGTTACGACGTTGCTGCTCCGATGGCTGCAGGATCAGTGTCCTCTGGTAGCCAAACCCCGCAGCCGCGCTACCCCGGGGTGAGGCGAGACGTTTGGACCGGATTCTCATGTTCTCTAAAGCTCGTGAGGGTCTTGCCTCCATCGGGGTCCAGCACGCCCCAGCCGGGCATGCTGGACACGGAGACATGCCCAAGCTGTGGCAACGCAGCTGCCTTGGCACGTGTTTTTCTTTTATTTGTCAAGACGATGGCTGAGGCCTACATGCCCGACGCCATCTTCTGCCGGCATTGCGGGCAGAAGCGGCAGGTGAGAGAAGCAAGCGAGATGTGAGCTGTGGCTTGGCGGGTCAGCCTCAGGTCGAAATCTACTCTGCCTTTTCAGGTGCCGAACCCAGCCGAGCTCTATGTCCCATGCCCAGCCCCGCACATCAAGCTAAGGCCCTGTCAGCCCAGCACACGGTGTTCTCAGCTCAGCTGTTCCTGTGGATGCCTTTTGCACGTCCTATGCACCAATGTCTCAGCTCCTGGGTGTTGAGCGCTGTGAGAGCTGGGGATTGCTTTTGTCAGTGCAAACGCAAAGTTGTTTTTCAATCAGCCGGTTGGCACTCGAGTAATTTGTCAACTTGTCCCTGCTCGCGATATGCAAGGTATATGTCAACGATCCTCCATTGTATAGCACCACTTTCTCAGGCACCAGTTTGTCGCAGCAAAACGAGGGGGCGGGGCAAGAGTTGATATTTTTGGTTCTGGGCGCTCGCTTGTTTCACGCATGTTTCGTCGGGTCGGATTGCAATGCCCTGCGCAGGACCTGGCACGGCCAGCCACTCAGCCGAGGTTTGGCGGGATCGCTCTGGCATCGCATTCTGCAAGCCTCTTCCGTTGACATTCCTGGTGTCAGTTCAGTCCTGACCTCAAGCCGAATTTGAGACGCACCATGAGATTGGCGCAAGAAAGCAAAATCAATCTAGATGCAGGCCACTCAATCTTGCAAACGTGCTTTCCGGCCTAATCATCGTGTTCAGCACAACGCATTTTGACAGTGGTGGCACAGAGTTGCGTCCTCGCACGCAAACACCAAAGTGTAAGAGCTAGCCTCATAGGTCAGCCGTCTCTGTTGAATTTTCTATCTGGCTTCGGATTCAGCCTAGTGCACCAAGAGGGAAGGCAAGTCACGGTAAAAAGCCAAAGAAGTAGCCCCAGCGTTCGCATCGCAACCTCCCCCCAAGGCTGCCCCAAGCCCGGCATGTTTCAGATGCTCCTGGAATGCCCCCAAATCAAGCTGAGGAGACCATCACCACATAATGACAGACACAACAAAACTTCAGCCTGTGCTCAAGACACGGTGCTCAAGAGAGAGCGAGAGAGAGAGAGAGAGGTTGGGAGAGACTGCACCACCAGGCCTATGCTGGCGAAGCTTCAGTGTACAATGCTCTATATTCAGGCGTGACAACTGCTTGGCAACATGCTTTGGCAAAAATGGGACTCGGGCTGCGAGACGGAGATATCGGCTTCTCAAGCAGTGCTTGATTCTCAACGTGCAGGTTCGGTGAGCCCCGCAGCTGGTACAACGGCTGGAAGCTGAATTTCAAGAGCCCCAAGTCCCGGCTTAGTGCAAGATACTTGCCGCAAACTGCAGAGAGAGAGAGAGAGAGAAACAACTCAGCCAGCCCCTGCTTCCAATATCAATGAACGAGCTGCTTCCGCCAAAAGCATTGAGGTCTATGCCAACGAAGCAGCGCCGGTGTACAACGCTACATACTCAGGCGCGACCATTTGTCACCCTCCGACGCATGCCCTGGGGCTGAGCAAGTGCTGTTGTGTATCAAAGTGCTCAAACGATCAAGATCAGGAGTGCCAGGAAGACTTGTCTAACCTGAGACAATGAACTGGGAGCGTGCAAGCATTGTGGCCAGGGTGGGTGCTGGGTGCAGGTTCGGTTACTCCTGTAGCTGGCGGTACAACGGCTCGGAGCTAAATGGCCATGTGCAACGCTGCTAGGGTGCCAAATTGATTGGAAGCTCGGCTGTTGCCTCATATTATCTTGGACCGCGTAGATGGCCCATGTCTGCCTTGCGTTGGAGGAAGCAGGTCATTCCGTTATAATAAGACAACAAAGCAGATGCAAAAGGAACAGATGCATTCGTGCACAAAGCACGTGTTGAATGTGGTGTGACGCATCCATGTGCACAGAGACGCATCCAGCATTGCACAAAGAGAGGCCTTCGTGGGATAACGGCTTGTACTGTTCGTGCCAAGAGAGCAGGCATTCTGTGACATATTGAAGGTGCTCCTGAGCCAAGCATTGAGGTCTATGCCAACGAAGCAGCGCCGGTGTACAACGCTACATACTCAGGCGCGACCATTTGTCACCCCTTCGACGCATGCCCTTGGGGCTGAGCAAGTGCTGTTGTGTATCAAAGTGCTCAAACGATCAAGATCAGGAGTACCAGGAAGACTTGTCTAACCTGAGACAATGAATTGGGAGCGTGCAAGCATTGTGGCTAGGGTGGGTGCTGGGTGCAGGTTCGGTTACTCCTGTAGCTGGCGGTACAACGGCTCGGAGCTAAATGGCCATGTGCAACGCTGCTAGGGTGCCAAATTGATTGGAAGCCCGGCTGTTGCCTCATATTATCTTGGACCGCGTAGATGGCCCATGTCTGCCTTGCGTTGGAGGAAGCAGGTCATTCCGTTATAATAAGACAACAAAGCAGATGCAAAAGGAACAGATGCATTCGTGCACAAAGCACGTGTTGAATGTGGTGTGACGCATCCATGTGCACAGAGACGCATCCAGCATTGCACAAAGAGAGGCCTTCGTGGGATAACGGCTTGTACTGTGCGTGCCAAGAGAGCAGGCATTCTGTGACATATTGAAGGTGCTCCTGAACCAAGCATTGAGGTCTATGCCAACGAAGCAGCGCCGGTGTACAACGCTACATACTCAGGCGCGACCATTTGTCACCCTTCGACGCATGCCCTTGGGGCTGAGCAAGTGCTGTTGTGTATCAAAGTGCTCAAACGATCAAGATCAGGAGTACCAGGAAGACTTGTCTAACCTGAGACAATGAATTGGGAGCGTGCAAGCATTGTGGCTAGGGTGGGTGCTGGGTGCAGGTTCGGTTACTCCTGTAGCTGGCGGTACAACGGCTCGGAGCTAAATGGCCATGTGCAACGCTGCTAGGGTGCCAAATTGATTGGAAGCCCGGCTGTTGCCTCATATTATCTTGGACCGCGTAGATGGCCCATGTCTGCCTTGCGTTGGAGGAAGCAGGTCATTCCGTTATAATAAGACAACAAAGCAGATGCAAAAGGAACAGATGCATTCGTGCACAAAGCACGTGTTGAATGTGGTGTGACGCATCCATGTGCACAGAGACGCATCCAGCATTGCACAAAGAGAGGCCTTCGTGGGATAACGGCTTGTACTGCGCGTGCCAAGAGAGCAGGCATTCTGTGACATATTGAAGGTGCTCCTGAACCAAGCATTGAGGTCTATGCCAACGAAGCAGCGCCGGTGTACAACGCTACATACTCAGGCGCGACCATTTGTCACCCTTCGACGCATGCCCTTGGGGCTGAGCAAGTGCTGTTGTGTATCAAAGTGCTCAAACGATCAAGATCAGGAGTACCAGGAAGACTTGTCTAACCTGAGACAATGAATTGGGAGCGTGCAAGCATTGTGGCTAGGGTGGGTGCTTGGTGCAGGTTCGGTTACTCCTGTAGCTGGCGGTGCAACGGCTCGGAGCTAAATGGCCATGCGCAAAGCTGTCAGGGTCCCAAGATTGAAACTCGGCCACTGTTTGTGTGTCTTCCAACATGTTCCTTTTTTGCTTGCGCAAGTGTCACGTTTTTCCCATTTGGAAATGCAGTCAGTTGAGCACCTCCGAGTCAAGGGTCGGCTGAAGGCGCTTGCCAGTGGTCCTGCGGTCCCAGTGTTCCCTGCTGCATACTCAGGCGCAGTCGTTTGTGAAAGGTTTGAACTTCATGAACGCCGAAAGGGCCAGAGGGTGTAGTCAGTGAAGTAAACCAGAGAAGGCCACGTTGCAACACCTGCAAGTCAGGGCCGTGGCAGAGAAACTCCAGACATTACATGCCAGGCCTCAAACGGACTGTACATCCGGGGATGGTTGGCGTGCCTGACATTCTGTTGATCTTCAGTCATATGGTCTTGAAATGCACTAGCCTCCTCTAATATATCCACTCAAAACGTGTGACATGGTATCACAAATGCCAATTTACGGCTTCGCCACAACTTGTGTTGTCTCCATAACTAGCTGGAGTAGACCTGTAGATCAATCTCGTGCTGTTGATGCTCTCTGCCCTGCCCGGCATGGGACACTTGGTTTGACAGTTTGGTTCTGTTAGTTTCAGTGAGTTACCATTCCTGAAATAATTTCCCTGATGCACCCGTACATATTCTAGCGCCTCTTGGCGATTTCAACATAGTTTTCAACGCCGCAAACGTTTCGGGGGCTCCGCCAAAGATGACATATCAATCCGTGCACAACGCGGCTCCCAAAACCTCAGTCTGGATCTCAAGCTGTGTTCGAATGTCAGTTTTGGAAGAAGATATGGCAGTTCAGAGAAAATGCAAGATGCAATATGCCCTTGTTGCAGGATCAGCCATTTGCAGGGTTGGCGCAACAGCGCGGCACTGAAGCGGAACGTTGGCATGTGAGAATTGCCGCGCGGCCGAACTAAGGCAAATGCTCCTTGTGGAGGTGGGTGCGTTGCGTTCATTGGGGTCTCACCATGGCAAGCTGCAAGGACTTCGAGCTCGCGTACGCTTCCCAGAGCGTAGACTTGGCGTTGCTCAACGTTCAACCCTAAACCGAGGATTTGTCCATCCTTTGCTCTGTGCATCATTACTAGTCACGGGCGTTGACCCAGACACAAAAGGGGAGGGCTACTAGCTCATAGCAAGATGACCAAAACGCTGAGATGCTGGGAATCCATCACCTGAGTTGTGGTAAGGGCATCCTTGAGCCCACTGCGCTGGGCCCTCAGTGACTCAGAGCTTGGCCGCTCGCCTTCTCGCACGGCTTCTGGTTGGAAGGGAAAGGCGCTTGACAGGTACGCAGCTCCGTCGGTGTCGATCCCGGTCTCATCATGTGCCCCAACCTGAGCAAGGGAGGCTTGATGCGAAGTCTGGGGCTCTTTTGTGCGAGACTTCCTTGTGATTCTCCTTCCTCTTCAGGGTCGGGCTGTTGTCTCACGTCGCAAAGGAAAGTCTTGGTGTCTCAGCATGCCGTCCCAGGAGGTTCCGCCAGCCACTGCTGGGCTCTCTGCATCGAATGGGTGTCCACCTCAGTCTGCTTGGGATGAGCACAGATGCAGCAATTCCGCGCTTGCAACTCGAGGTGCACATCCATGCGCTTGTCATCCTACACGCCACTGCCCATGCAGGCACATCGCACGAGCTTGTTGCAAGCTGGGCTGCTTTTGGAACTAGGCGACGGCCCACTCCCTGCCCTGGGCTCCCGCTAGGCGTCGAGGTCGGGCGACGTTTGACTGACTGAGGCCTGGGACGGTCACTCCGGTTCCTCCGGTCACGCCGGTTCCGATGCCAAGGCAGGGCGAAAGGGCGACCGGGCGACCGGGCGACCGGGTGGGGGGGGGCCTGGGGGCCTTGCACGGCATTTGTGAGCCATCCCTCAGGGCTTCGGTGGTGGCGCGCTCAGGATGTGGCACCAGGGGCATGTATTCTTAGCCTTTCCTTTCTGAGGGCTCCTTGTCGGTAAGCTCGCTTCCAACTTCTGCCCTTGCCGCGGAGACATGGCAAGTCTTAGACTTTTTTGAGGGTGCTGTGTTGGCTTGCGTTTCGTTTCGTTGCTTTCCGAGGACATTCCCACCCCTGTGGAGCCCCAGTTGCCGGCAAGCCTCACTGCAGGCGAGACGCCCGGGCGGGAAAGGGCCGTAGCAGGCTGGAAGGTTGGACTTTCTCCTTTGTCCCACGGGATCTTCTCCCATCTTCATGGAGTCAAACCTGCTCTGCTACACATTCGATTCGTCGCTTTTCTGATACTCTCTACCCTCGAATCCCCTATCGATGCAATCCCTTGCAATCCCAAGTTCAAAGTCTGGGACACCGCAGTCTGCCTGAAGTTTTGCATTCTGCCCCAGCTCGCCTTGCATTCCATGTTTGACCGCCCCGCAACCACTTGGCCCTGTAAATCCTGCAAATCGGGAAGTCGTTTTTTGGGACTGGAAGGCCTTCCAGATCCTTCCTCCATAGAGCGCCAGAAGAGCTCCTACGCACGCGGACTGGAGGAGCAGCTGAGGCCTTTTCGCTAGCGCCACGGGTTCGGTGCTTGGCTTCCTGGCTTTGCAGGCACGGCACCGACGTGCTGGCCCAGCAGTTGAAGCAGCAGTCGGACTACCTCTTCGCAGCACCAGCCCCGAGTTTGAGACGTGTCGCCCGTTTGGTCGCACCTGTGAACCCAAGATGGGTGACCAACGCAAGCGGCAATACGCGCTGCAGGCGGGTCAAAAAGGGTTTTTCTGGGCCCCTGGCAGCTGAAAAACATGGCCAGGTGGACCAAGAGATCAAGCAGAGAGTTTGGAGCTCAGAGCCGAGAGCGAAGCAGAGGAGTGAGATGGTTTGAGGAGATGGAGCTGGCACAGCAGCACAATGAGCTGGAGCCTGAGAAACCTCAAGGTCGACTTTGAGTTGCTGAACCCAGGCAGCTGCTGCTTCTGCAGCAAGCCGCACAGCAGCAGAAATCGGCGCTGGAGCATCAGGCTTGGACGTGCTCGGCGTCCCCTCTGTGCGAAGCAGGCCCTGTATGCCCCGACAGGCGAACGCCTTGCTGTTGGAATACAACCAGAAGAAGGCGCAGGAGGACAAGCTGAGAAGGGCAAAGTCTCAGACCCCAGTACCGATCACTTTTGGAACTGGATGAGGACCTCGCGTATCAGCAATACCAGTTTCAGAAGCGACAGTATGAGGCAAGATTCTGACAGTCAGCGGTTTTCATTTGAGCTCGTTGCGCTCCATGAGCTGAATGAGTGCCTCGCCGCGTCTTTTTTAGCCTTTTTGCCAAGCCAGGAAGGGACTGTGTCTAGCACTTTGTCTCAGCGTCTGTAGTTGCAACGGCATGTATGGATGCAGTGAAGTCCCAAGAGGAGGGGGCTTGCACGCAAGTTTTGCTTAGCCATTTGGAATGAGCAACTCAATCATTTCTATTATTTTGTGATAGATGGCAACTGCAAGGTTTTTATACTCGACTTAAACATGCAAGACAAGGCAATCAGAGACGTAAGCAGCAAATTGGCCACCTGTCGTATGTTTGACTTGCGCAAGTTCAAAGAGTATTTCCATCTGGTTTTTGTGAACAAGAAAGGAGGTCGCGACAGTGCTGCACACGCTGGGCAAAACTGCGCTAGAAAGCCGATGGGTACCAACAAAAAGCCTTCAGACAAAAGGTGTCTTTCAAAAACGCAGCACATATCGGTGCGAATGAGTAGCAGGTTTCAGCTACAGGCGACTGAAAGAGCCGGAGCCCGCCAGACCCAGCTGCAGTACAACGAGGAGATGAAGGAGTTGCAGGTCGCAGTCCTAGTTTTTTCTTCTCGGCCAAACCCCTGTAACGGCATGGCTTCGGGCCAAGAGATGTGCAGGTTCAGCAGAACGCTGCAGAGCAACAGGCGAAACGTGCGAAGCACGCGAAGCCGGCGAAGCCGGCGACGGCCTTTTCGCTTCCGTGACCTGATGCCTGATACCGCGCAGGTGGCGCACCAGCGTGCATACATCGCACAGCAAGCGGTGCTCACCTCACCGCCTGCGAGCATACGGAGTGAGCAGTTTCTCCTTCCGCCTTGATGGGAGCGTCCTTGGGGTTGGTTGAAAGGAAAAAGGAGAGCAACATTTGAGGCTTCCCTCGTTTGGAGACGGAAGCTTTTGTCGCCGTGCCAACGGTTTCCAGGTGCAAGCCACACAGCAAGCAGCAGTAACTGCACGGCAGGCAGGTCGGTGGTGCGAGGCACGCCTCTTGCTCTGTCACAGTTGGCAGGTTCGACTGAGTGGGCCTCCAGGCAGTTTCACTGCCCCTTCTTTCGCTCGCTGCATGTATGAAGCACATGAGGCGCTCCAGCGACGTGCCCCCGCGAAGATAGTCTCGGTGAATGGTTGGCAGACCGAGAGAGATTTCGCTGCGAATCTGTGTCAGGTATGCTGCGCCTTTCGTGCCAGTGCCGTGCCAGCCTTGGTCCTTGTGGGACGCCCCTTCTGGCGTGAGCACTGAGGTGCACACCACCCGTGCCAGCGGTTTCCTCAAGGGGCTCACGGGAATCAGGCATTTGCGTGAGAGAGAAGGCTTAGGCGCAACGCAAGCTTAACGCCACCAGCGACTTGCGTGGGTCCCGTCTCCCGTGCCTAGACCCCACACTGGCAAGCAGGGCACCCAGACGGACGCACCGTTCGACAGTGCATGTCTTTCAATATTAGTCTCTCTCGGCCTGGACAAGTAATATGCACCTTGTTGGATGTGTGGGGTGCCCCCGAAACAGTGAGAGTCGAGGGCACCTTGTCTTATAGCTCAGATGTGGGAAGACCGAAATCAGTACAGCCAATGCCTTCGTGGAGCTTTCTGTGAGGAAGACCTTGCGCTGCGACTTATGTTCGCAGGTTTTTCTCCTTTGTCAATTTGTACTTAGTTACTTGCTTTCCCCAGCTCAGAGTGCAACCCAACGCTGCTACAAGGCAATGGCTTGGCGAAGTCGCCTGCCGAATCTCCATGCCGAGGTTGCCCTACCCAGACAATGAGTGGGCCTGGGCTGCCCAGGCTGCCTGCCTGAGCAGCTGGGGCAATCTGGGGTTCCAGGCTGGCGTGAGAGGGTCGCATTGGCCAGGCTCGCTTTGGCTGAGTCGCTGCAAGATGTGCAGGACAGGTCCGCCAGGACACCAATGCACCAACACACGAACACCACACACACACACTACCGCACAACCGCACCAGCGCATCACCACACCGCAACAAAAGCAGAGAGACCAATCAATGCAAAGCACAGTATTATTCGTTGAGGAATGCGGACACGCCTGGATGGCCAATCGTGGTTGGCATGGCAAGCAAGTGGAGGCCACCCTCCCTCGCAGTGGCGCAACAACACCCGTGCTCCAAGGTGTTTTGCGCGCACGCGCACACAGGAGCCCTCGTGTCCACGCGCGCACGAACGCGCGGAAACATACGACGCCATGCCCTTCTTCTCCACCCACCTACGCGCGAAGGCAGGGACAATCAGGGACCCATGCGCGCATGAAGTGGCACCTGCCTGTGCGTCCACGCTTTGCAAGGCCGGCTTTTTTCACCTTGCACAATGGCTGCGCTGAAGCTTCAAAGTTGGGTCAGGGAATCGTCATTTATATCGGCGTTTGGGACATTCCAAAGCATCTCGGCATTCTTCCTGCAAGTTCCACACTGCCAGGTGGCAGTGGATTCGCAGCTTTGCCAGCTGGTCTGAGATGTGTAGCCCTCGTGCCAATGCAACTTCAACGAATGTGAAAAGACTTCGCGGTCAGAAGGGAAGGCCTTGTGCAATCTTGCAGGCCGCATGTGCCATTTCTGGAAGTCGTTTGTTTTGGCCCATAGGGGCTCAAGTGCCGCCCTTGAGCGTTTTGCGCATGGGTTACTTGGCCAGAGGCAAGGAAATGGATTCGAGGAAATTGAGATGGCAACTTTTTCGCAAGGATGGCACAGTACAGAGGTACTGTCAAGCGTTCGCCTGAGTTGCGCACGGAAGAGAGGCTTTTCACTTGTTCTATGTGTGAGGTCATACAATGCCCTCAAGGGTTGGGGGTTTATCGAGAGCCCAGACACGGCTGCCATTTACGGGAAGGACGGCGGCCAAGGGAAGGGTCCATGCAATCGGTCGAGCATGAGGACGTGTTCGTCCTGAAGACTGCTCTTCAGGGAGCTACTCAGGGATCCGAGGCGTCGCTCTAGAGCCGTGATCAATCCACGGGGCTTCCTTCCAGCCACAAGCACTCAGCTGTGTGCATCAATTCGTGTGCTCTCAGGTGCTTTTCAACGTGTTAGATAGCCACCGAGGGCCTCAGGCGGGGTTTGTTGAGAGAAGAAAGTAAGAAGAAGCGAAGTGGGAAGTGGACAGGCCGAGAACGTGATCGTGCTGACGGCCCAGCCAATGGCAAGTCCCGGGTTCGTCAAGTCTTTTGCAGCCCCGGGAGGCCTGGGCCAGGGCGAGCGAAGAGCGCGCGCGGGGACGCGCGAAGCAGTGCCTGTTGCCTGTAGGCTACATGTCCACCTTGGGCAGCCGACGCATGCATGAAAGTACGTGGCCAAAAAAGAACGGAGGGCTTGAGATGTAGATGTTGCACTAAGGCGTCCAAGCAGTGCCGCCGGCCTCTCAGATGGTGGGCGTGGTGAAGTCCTACAATGCCCTGAAAGGCAGGGCTGATGTGGTGGGACTTGAGGCAGAGGGCAACAGACAGATGCTTGTTGAGGCTGGGGCTTTGTCACAAGCCCGGAGGTTGTCCAGATGTTTGGCAAGGCCGCGCATTGATATTGAGATTTCGTGTAGGGTGTTGCAGGAACAAGGGCAAGCACTGGAATTACGCTGGCATTGCCAGAAGCCACCTGCAGGACCTGTTCTTCATGAAAACTGATCTCGAAGGGCCAGTCGAACCCAACCAGCGCGGATCTCAGCATTCAGAATCTCTCGTTGATACCACAGCCTGCCTATAAACTCTTGTACGTATTTGTTATTTCTTGTGCAGCCAACAACACAATAATTAGTGACCAGTGACCACTCAGTTTGTTTGGTAGGACAGTGCTCTGAATGCATAACTCCAGCTGTATTTTTTGGCAACCATCCATATTCGAAGTCAACCAGCGTGTGGCGTGTGTTGGCAAACAGCTTGCAATTCAAGTGCAGCTATATGACAAGTACAGAGCGCACGTTGTCCAATGTCATCACGATACTACTAAGTAACTCGGCAACCAGCTGGTGCGAATTGAGAAACACCTTCGTCAGATGCAAGCATCCTAGAGCTCTGTCTGTTGTGAAATGCTCACGTCGTCTCCGAAGTGAATATAAGGGTTTCAGATCAAGCACGATTAGACCCAAACTAGGTGCTGCGGTTTTGGCACACGCAGCCCGCTTGCTGAGCTCCCATTGTTTGCTGGCAGGTGCACATGAAAATCACCTTAGCGTTGACAATACTTCCAGCCTTTACTGAAAGCTTCGAGTACCATGGGCAAGCAAGTCTGTCTGCTTTTAGAGACACGGACCGCAGTTTCAGCATGCCATTGCATGGCACAAACTGCTGCTGCACTCCTGTCTCTGATCTTGTATGGAGTTGGGAACGAACGGCTTAAGTTACAGCGAACAACAGGCTAATCCTCAAAGCAATGCACACCTCCGGTCTGACCATTTTTTCCCACACCAACCCCACAACAACTTGAATGCCATGCAAGCAAGATGCTAGTCGCAGCAGAATCAAGGGGCAAGCTATGACGAGAGCGACGGACTCGGAGAAGCACAGCAAAGAGCCAGCAGACAGAGAGAGAGAGAGAGAGAACACAGCCTGGTGCTGCGGGTGGGTAGAAACTGGCTTTCGTCAACGCCGCCCAACCCTCGCAGGGCCCAGCATGTAACATCAGACAAACCGCGAAGAAGAACTAGCAAAAACCCGAGGGGTCGTTAAACGTGTTGGTAACGTACACAGCATGTGCGTTAGGCATGTGCGCCATTGTGGCTAAGGCAGGTGACCTTTTCCGTTGCCGAAGGCGGAAGGGGGGTTCAGGCCTGGCGGATGTTTCCCGTGAGTACTGGAACCAAATGCAGCATTGAGGCACAGAGCATCAGACCCGTGGGAAGAGCGTGCGGAACCGAGCCACCCGTACCGCGCACTGTTTGATCCTTCCAAGGACACGCCCAGTGCCAACCAGCATGCAGGGAGACCAAGTCAGAATGGCTGCAGATGTTGCATGTGAGTTTCACGAAAGGTGTGAGATAAAGTTGGTAAGGCCCAAAGTGCACTTGCATGAGGAACTGCTCGGGTGTAGCTCTGAGGCTGAGTAGGCCACCAACGCTGGCGCCAGCGTCCATGGCGATGCTGGGGCCATGGGGTCGGTGCCGGTCGAGAAATCAACACGTTTTGGGAGCGATCTCTTGGCCGCTTCAAGCAAGGGATTTGGCGAGGCAAGAGATTGACAACCCAGATTGAGTCTGATGCAATCAGCTCATCGGCATTTCTTTAAGCAGAGGATTCAAACCCTGTCACTCTGAAGGAGGGGAAAGGGTGAGAGCTGCCTGAGCACGCTTCGTTCCAGGCCGCAGCTTGCCCAGACCTTTGCTCCTGATCAATGCTTCTTTGGCGCTGTCAAAGGCGCCTCGGTTTGGTGCGAACGGCGTGTCGTTCTCCTGGGTTCGTTTATTTGATGGCTCCGGCCAGCGATCGGCAATGGAAGCGTACCCGGCATTTGGTTCTGCTGCGGCTGACTCGAGGCTACAGCGAAGAGAAAGGATGGGGCCACATATCCTGTGAGGCGCGGAGCTGCCAATGGAGCTTGGCATTTAAGCCGTTAAGTCCGTCAGGCTGCGAGGAATATCTTTGGCAAGGATATTTTCTTGCTGCGAACTGCTCTGAGTCTGGGCCTCGGTTTTGGCCTCGGTTTTGGCCTGGCCCTGCCTGGCCCTGCCTGGCCAATGCAGCCCTGCAAGCTAGGTGGCGCAACGGCTGTGCCTGGGAACCTGGTGGGCTTCAAGGTGAAGAACGCCCCCAAGGGGCCTCAGGCCTACGACGTGGTGGCGCGGAGCCCAGTTCGCGGGAGAACTCGGCGTCGACTTCGCATTTCGCATTTCGACTTCGAGGTGCTGCCGCCTGAGAGCTTCGAATACGAGGGCCAGTGCGGGCCTGGAGTGCGAGAGTCACTGAAAATTCACATGGCCCTGCCTATAGGCCCAGCATGCGCTACGAAGGCACGGTGAAGCCTGGACCTCAAGATGCGAGAGAGTGGGCGCCTCCTCGATGTGTATTGGCTTGCCAGCTCCAGAAATAGGAATAATGTACACCACCACAAGTCTTGAAGCCACGCTTCCACATATGTTTCTATATTCATGCATATGTAGCTGTGTATGTATATGTATTTGTCTTGCTATTTGTTTTTGTATACACACGCATACACACACACACACACAAAGTCAAGATTGTGGTGCAATCCTGTTTTATATGAGACGCCACCAAGCTTGACTCGTGCAAGTTGAATCTGAGCCAATGGTGTCATTTCGCCTCTGCGCCTCAATCCGTTCCTGGACGGCCATAACACGCAACCACTTGGCAGGCCAATTGCGACCAGCTGTGTCAGAAAGCTACGGCAGACGGGCTGACCTATACGAGTTCGATGTGTTCGTACCAATTGACGAGCCAAGTTCGTCACACTTCCAGCCAGCAAATGCTAGTATTCACTCTGCGCATGCAGCGCTTGCAACTGCCAACCCTCAGACTGCACAGACTGTCCCGGATCTTGCAACCCCCACGACTCCGGAAGCAACTCGTGAGACAGCAACGCACCACAATCAAAATTGTGTCAGCGAGAGTACAATGTCAACACCTGTCTCCAGTTACATTCCAACAGCTCCGCCGACGCCGCTTCCGCCGCGGCCGGCACCGCCGCGGCCGGCACCGCGGCCGCCGCCACCGCCGCCACTGCCAAGCCTCTCTGCAAATTCAACGCGAGAGGATGTGGAGCAGCCGAAAGGACGGATCCCAGAGTTTCTTGAAAGGCACAACATTTGCATGGATGGGACCAAGGTTACACCCGTTCTGAGCTTTGCAGAGTCCGGATTCCCACCAAAGATCCTGGAGTATTTGCAGAGCTTGGGTTTTGATGGCCCTACCGCGATCCAGTCTCTCGGCTGGCCTGTGGCATCTGCTGGCCGTGACATGGTGGGGCTGGCGGAGACCGGCAGCGGCAAGACGTTGGCGTATCTGGTGCCGGGCCTCTTGCGCGCGAGTGCCGCGAGTGCCGCGAGTGCCTCGTCCGAGTCGTCCGAGTCCGGGCCAGTGGTGCTGGTCCTGGCGCCCACCAGGGAGCTGGCGATGCAGATCCAGGTGGAGGCCTTCCCGCTGTCGGAGCTGCTGGGCCTGCGCGATGCCGTGGTCTACGGCGGGGTGTCGAAGCGGGGCCAGCAGCAGGAGCTGCGCAAAGGCGTCGACGTGCTCATCGCCACGCCCGGGCGCCTCTTGGACTTCCTGGACGCCGGGGTGGTGAGCCTGGAGCGGGTCGCCTACCTGGTGGTGGATGAGGCGGACCGCATGCTGGACATGGGCTTCGAGCCCCAGCTGCGGCGCGTGGTCTCGCAGCTCTCGCGGTCCCGGCAGACGCTGATGTGGTCCGCCACGTGGCCAGCGTCCATCCAGCATTTGGTGAAAGACTTCTGCACGGATGTGGTGAAGCTCACCATCGGAATCACAGAGGCCAGGGCAAACCCGCAGGTGCTTCAAGATGTCCGCGTGGTGACTGAACTGGAGAAGAAGCAGCGCTTCTTTGACTGGCTGCAAGAGGTGTCTCCTGCACATGGCGAGCAGCCACGAATTTTGGTCTTCACAGACACAAAGAAATGTGCCGATGCCTTATGCCGCGAGCTGCGATATGAGCAGTTCGCGGCAGGTGCGATCCATGGAGATAAGGATCAGCAAGAGCGGGATTCCATTCTCCAGAATTTCAGGCGAGGCCGCTGCCAGATACTTGTGGCAACAGATGTCGCTCAGCGAGGCTTGGACATCAAGGAGGTGTCATACGTCGTGAACTATAACATGCCCAACACGATTGAAGACTATGTTCATCGCATCGGCCGCACTGGCCGAGCCGGTGCCCGTGGCGTCGCCGTTTCCTTTCTGACCTGCGATTTCAGGGCGCAGGACAAGGTGCGCATGGCACGTGGCTTGATCAAGCTCATGCAGGACGTGGGCCAAGATCCTCCCGAGCCACTGCTGAAGCTCGCGCAATAGTGGCAGAAACAAAACGATGTTAAAGGGTTGCGGAGCTTCAAATGACACAAGACTTGCAGATGCACCTGTGGCTCGGCTGCAGGCTCTACAATCCAGAGAAAGGATGGGGCTTCGTCACGAGCCAGGAGATCCCGCGCCTCTTCTTTGGCAAGGCAGGTGCCTTGCGCTTGCGCTTGAGCTGAACTGACTCGACCCAGTCGAGTCATATACAGATACCAGGACATCTTCTTGCACAAACAAACGCTCCCAGAAGGCTGCCGCAGCCCGTAGATGTGACGACGCGGGCGGCTCTCTGGCTCTGTCCCGACTGAGGCGTGCCGCAGAAAGGGGAGGCAGCCAGCTTCTGCGTACAGGTCACCGACGCCGGCAAGCTGCAGGCTCCCACAGCGCCCATGGCTCCCATGGCTCCCATGGCTCTGATGCGACCTCTCGGCCTCGGCTTCCGATTTGGCTCGTGTAGGCCAAAGACGTGATCATCAGCCAGTCTTTTGCACCTGCCCGAAGCTCAGAGTGAGGGGCCAAACATGTTGAATCCGCAAAAGGTCACGTCTGTTGAACGCCATAAGCTTCATGTGCCTGGTTTCCTTTGTTTCGTTCCCCTGCAAAGACTCTGAAATTGCCATGGACAGAAGTCGCAGGTACGAAACGGCCTAGCGCCAAGAGCATCGCCTTATTGACCGCGAAAGGGGGAGCTGGGTGGAGGGCACTGACATTCATGGGATGTGGATGCAAAGGCGAAGGTCCCTTTGAACACTCACGGCAATGGGTCGAGTAAGAAAGTCCGAGAGAGAAATCTCATATGGCTTCGGCTCAAGCTCGCGTGTGCGTGATGGATGCCCAACTCATTACCGACGTTTTCAGGCGTTTTGATACGAACCGGGATGGCATCATCTCCAAAGAAGAGCTGATGAGGGTATTCGGCAAGCTTATGCCTGAACACCACCACATGGAGAAGCTGATCGCCCAAATGGATACTAATGGAGATGGATCGGTGCAGTATGAAGAATTCGTTGCGTGGATCCTAAAAGCAAAGTCTGGGGATGGATTTGACTCAGATCGTGCTGGCATTCTTTCTGCTCATGCTGAAGGTACACAGCAGAAGGTGCAGAAAGTGAGGGCCAGCCTGACGGGTGCCAAGCGCTCGGCGGTGTTTGTGGAGCAGCTGGATTCAGAGAAGGGTCGAGCTAGCCTGGCCAGCATGAGCAAAGAGCCTCCGAAGGGAGCTTTGGCCATTTGCTGCGCACTGCACAACTTGCTGAAGATCCGCAGTGCCAAGATCGACTGGCCGGTGGCCCAGAAGATGCTGGCGGACCCGGAAGCTTTGATCTCCAGCATGAGAGCCTTTGACCCTCATCAGGTGCCGGACTACGTCATCCAGTCCTTTGAGCAAGCGTTGAAGCTGCCTTACTTTCAGTTCGAGCGCATGGCGGAGCAGAACTTCGCCTCCGCGTGCCTGGGCTCCTGGGTCGTGGCGAGCGCCGAGGCCGTCCGGGACCTGAGGCTCCTGGCGCCGGTGGAGGCGGCGGCCATGAGGGCCAGCGCGGCCTGCAGGGAGCTCGAGCCCTGAGACCCTGAGGCGCCCGAACACCGCCCGAACACCGCCCGAACACCGGGCGGCACAAGTGGCCGGGGGCCGGGGAATCCGTGTGCACGGTCTTTGCAAACGCAAGACCGTGACACGTGTTCAATGTTAACGAGACAACTGCGAAGAGAGAAAGAGACCGCCTCGGGGCGTGCAAAGGCAACCAAGGATGTAGCTGGAACGGAAGCCTGCCTCTCAGGTATGGCAGGTAGGCAAACTAGTGTCATGACACAGTATACTACACCACGTTACACCACAGAGCATCACGGCATATCGCATCACGCTACGCAACGCTACATCACCATTGCACCGCACCGCCTTTCATCGAAGCTTCTGTGAGGACAGTTACATGCGGCGCTTGCTTTGTGGCCCAAAGCGGGTAGTGAGTCATCATCTCTGGTTTTGCAGACATCATCCGGTGCACGCGCACCAAAAGGCGCTTGAAACACAAATGCAGTGGCCCTGGCTGAGAGAGAGAGAGAGAGAGAGAGAGAGAGTGAGGGAGAGAGCGACACCTGCGCACGTGTGAAGCAGCAAAAGTGTATTCGTGCAGCTTCCTTCGCAGGAATCTTGTATTCGACAATCATCATGTGTTTTTGTGTGTGCGTGTGAGTGCCGGGTTATATAATGTTGGTTTTTGCATTCGAGCCCAGGTCGATCACTTTGCCACCCGGCTATCGCGTCGGCCACTTTGCTGCCACACCTGGCTCACATGCCATGCATGCCATGCATGCCATGCGCCAGGGGCCGCCTCCGATGGCCATGTCAATGTCCGGCTCTGTGAAGGCGTCCGTGCAGTTGATGCAAGCAGTCCACGCCGTGTCGCGTGCAGTCCATGCCGACATCGATGACACCCATGCCAACGCCGTGTCAGAGCATGGGCTCCAACGGCCACCTGAACTGCAATGGAAGCTATTTTCGGATGATCATCCCCATATACATCACGAGTTTTGGCCTAGTGTGAACCTTTAAATTTCACACTGAGGCTACCAAAGCTGCCAGAGCTACCCAGGGCACGCGATGGCCCGGCACTGAGAGCAGGTGCTTCTTATCCGGTCTGAGTGTTCCAAGGCTCAGGCGCCGCCGTCCCTCCATTCGGCTCCGGCTTATGCCTCGCCACCTCCCAGTGGCCCTGTTCGCGCCCAAGGGGTCCTTGCGGTGCCACGTGCGCTTCCGGATCGCTGAGGTCTATGCTGCTCCGATCAAAGGTCTGGATGATGTACGCACGAAACGTTTGCATTTGTGTCATCCGAGGCCACGGCGAGGTCTCGAGCTTTGCATTTGCGCTTTCATTGCGCTGCCAGCACCTCTGGTTGGCAAGCCTTTCTTGTTGCTTGCAAGGCTTCCCCACAAAGCTATGCCGAGAGTGCGGACAGCGAGGCGGTCCTTCCACGCTCGCTTGTCAATGCCGGGTAAGCTGTGCCAGGGTCCTTTCACAAGGGGATTCCCTGACCCAGCCTCGATCGATCAGCAAAAGAAGGCCTACTGCAGGACAGGTTCACGGTTGCCATGCGTCATTTTTTCACTTGCGTCTCCCCCACTGCGCCGCTAGGAGCCTGGATCAGCAGCTGGAAGACGGAAACTCATCGTTGCAAGAGTCTGGCTGGCCTTGTTGCGTCCACAATGCGGCCTGTGATGGTTCGTTGGCTGGCCCATTCAAAGCTTTGGTATCTTTCCTGGGGTTTCCGAACCGCTCCCGAACAGAGGGAAACGATCCGTAAGCACTGGGGATGCGGGGTGTTCCGCGCGTAAAAAAGGGACGACGCGACAGGCAGAATGTGGAGAGGAAGAAGCAGCTCTACGAGGCCCTCGAAGCGAATGCACCGAGCTGGTCCCGCGGAGCCGCGTGCAGGCCGCAGAGCAGCAGAAGCAAGCCCTGCTGCCAGCGGCCGAGCGGCCGAAACGGCTGAGTCGGGTTGAGGGAGGGACACCACTGTTCTCAGGCTGCACATGGAGCAGCAAGTGAAGATGCAGGAGGGGAGAAGCCTAGCTGTTGGAGTCAAGGTTGGTGAGTCAGGAGATGGCGCTGGATGAGCAGACGAACCAAGCCATGCTGGCGCCTGAGCAACCTTTTGCTGGCCTCTCCGGATCTCCGGACTGAGGATGGGCTTGAAGAAGGCAGCGCTTGACCAGAGGCCGTCGCCATGCCTATGTCCTTGTGAGAGAGCTGCTCCCAGGGCTGCCTTGGAGCAGCAAGCTGCGCCGGGGACCTGTGAAAGCTGGAGAACTTTTGGCTTCCGAGCTGTCCAGGTCATTGACCCTGGAGTATCAGCACAGGCAAGCCGAGATTGGCCGAGATTGGCCGAGATTGGCCGAGATTGGCCGAGATTGGCGGCAAGAGCTGGAGAAAACCTCCGCCAGGAAGATGCAGGAAGAATTTGCTGCGACGCAGGCTGAGATGCACAGGCATCGGTGACGACTTTCGAAGTGCCTCGAGTGCCAAGAGCGAGAGAGAGAAGTGCCAGGCAATATGTGGACTCGGCCAGCAAGCTGCAGACGGAGGCGGAGTCACTTTGCACCCTGCATTTGCCTCTTTGCATCTGTGCGTTCTTGCTCAGGTCCACAAACACCAGACCGAGTCCAAAGGGAAGATGCAGCGAGAGTGGGAACGGCAACTCAAGGAGAAGCTATGGCTCTTTGACTGAAAGCCGGAGCCGCGCTCCTTCGCGCTTCCGAAGGAACGGCAAGAAGTTCTCGGGCCAGCTGCCACGATGCCGCGGCGTTACCGTCAGCTCTAGCCACGCGCTTACCACCGCTTACCTGTGAACCCAGGCCAGCTCAACCTGCCCAGGCCGCGCGTTCTTCATTGTTTCAGAGTATCCTTGGAGCTTCAGGCGATGCCGATGGCACAGCAAGCGCCGCCAATGGCGCACCAAGCGCCGATGCCAATGGCGCACCAAGCGCCGATGCCAATGGCGCACCAAGCGCCGATGCCAATGGCGCACCAAGCGCCGATGCCAATGGCGCACCAAGCGCCAATGCCTGTCTACAGCTCTGCCTCCTTTCCACCACAGGGCTGTGCAGTTTCACCAACATCAGTCTCAATCTCAGAACATGTTGCATACCCGAGCTCCACTTCTCCCCTGTTAGGTCGCACCGGTGCAGCATGCACTCAGCCACACGCCTGAATTGGCGCAATCTTCACACGTGCGGGCAATGCGGGTTGCGTCGCATGCGCATCGCCTGTCAAGGCTACTCCATTCCGCAGGCGCGAGCGGGCGAGGCCGGCGGGTGGCACAGCTCAGTCGCCTCAGGTGGCCTACCGGTATGGCTGAAGCTCGCGTGAGGCCGCGTTCGCGCTGGGCATGTTCTTGTTTTGCACGTGCCTGGTGCGTACGCGTGCCTGTCGATTTTAGTGCAAAGTCCACTCAAAGATTTGGAGCAGGTTTGGGCTGAACAAGGGGGCGTTGCAGAAATATTTGAAGTTGTGATGCCTTCTATCAGACTGATCTCAGCCTGCTTTCATCAGAGATGACTGACATACACTGTCGTATGCCAATGAACACAGGAGCATGCAGATGCTTCCCACAGAGTCAACATGCAACATGTACTGGTCTGAGGGCCTAGGCCGTGTCAAAGCGAGTTTGGGATTGTGGGAAGCTTCTGGAGAGCTGCTCACGCAGAGAGGCTGCAAAAGAGGGCAGCTGGGAGTTGAGCTGTGAGCCTGGTTTTGGGCGATGCGTATGCGTGGAATGCGCAACTGTTCGGCTCCAAGCTATGCCGAGCATTAGCGTGCGGGCCTTGTCGGGCGCTTTGGTGTGGGGTCCAAAGGACAGCATGTGACACACGTTACGCACGCGACGCCGACGGTGTGAATCAGAGCACCTTTTCATAGGACGTGGAGGAGTCGACCACTTGCGGCGAGCTGCAGCAGCGCGTGGCCCTTGCCCTCCAGCAGCCTGCTCTATGGCCGAACAGTTCGTGGCCAACGCATGAGTTGGAGCCAAATGGTCATCTGAGGTTCAACTAGTTGCAGAAGATGTGCCGCCAGGATGCAGAAGCGCAAGGGACACTGCAGCCAGAGGGTCCATTCTCTAGGCTGTACTCTCGCAGCTTGTGCTGCGCAACATGTTGTCCCTTGAGATGAGCTCAGGCTTTTGGAAGGTGAGAAAGCAGTTGGGGAGGTGCTCAAAACAGAGGCGGAGTTGACGATGCTCCACTCCCGCCCGCGGCCGCTGCCCGGGCTTTACGTTTGCGAGCTGAACAACCACCGGGTGATGCGCTACGCTGGGACCGGTGGTGAGGTGGTGGTGGGCGGCTTCGGGCGGGGCTCCGCGCCTGGGCAGCTCGCGGGGCCGCGGAAGCTCTGCGCGGACGAGGAGTTTCTGTACCTCTCGGAGCTGGGGAACCGCCGGGTGACGCGCTGGGTGCCGAGCCTCCGGGGCCAGGCCGCGGGCTGCGAGGTGCTCACCGGGCACTTGGAGGAGCCGTGGGGCATCTGCGTGGACCGAGCCGCGGTGTACGTGGCCGACGCCAAGGCCCACGCCGTGACCCGGTGGGTTCAGCGGAAGGGAAGCGTTGAAGCCGGCGGAAGAGGTCCTGGAGATGGCTTGGACCAACTGAACCAGCCTGTGGATGTTGCCTTGGACTCGCGTGGCCGGCTCTACGTCGCCGAGCGTGGAAACGATCGCGTGACGCGTTGGCATGGGAGAAACTGTGAGATTGTTGCAGGCGGACAGGGTTGGGGCGATGATTTGGAGCAGCTGGCAGGTCCAACGGCCTTGGCCTTGCAAGAAGTAGGGGGCGAGACTGCAGTTTTGGTGGCGGAGGCAGGCAACAATCGCATTACCCGGTGGTGGCCAGGCCAGCCCCGCTGTGAGATTCTGATTGGTGGCGTGGGCTCTTTGCCGAATCTTGACGCTCCTGAGGGGCTTCATTATGACGTGCAGGAGGGGTGCATCTACGTTGCTGTGGCTGAGATGAATCTGCAGCAATTCTGCTTTTCAGGGTCTGTTTCCAGCGTCTTGTAGAAGTTGTCCGCCATTTTGCGTCTGAATCTTGCCTCAGGAAGCGGGAAGCAACCGAGTCACTCGCTGGCGATCTGGAGCACTCCAAGGAGAGATCATCGCCGGCGGCAAGGGCAGAGGCGACGGGCTTCAGCAGATGAACGGAAGCTGCGCTGTGCTACTCATTGCCGAAAATGGCAAAAAAGGTGAGTGAGTTGCGAAGTTTGTGCGCTCTCCTCTCAGGTTAAGTTCCCACGGAACGGAATCTGTAAGCCAAAGCCCATGGGGAATTTCAGCGTTGCCTAGCTAATCAACACATGACACAATGCATAAGCATGATAATATTTTTGTGTAGATAGATAGATAGATGCATACGTAGACATAATATCCATAATATACACATACACATACGCATGCAGAATATGTGGTGGATGGTCAGGAGAGGAGGCTTGCGCATGAAAGCCGATCACATGTTTGTACTCGTACAACACAACAGTGTATTTGTTTCTGGAATGCGGCTTTATGCAGCGCTCGGTGGAACTGAACAGCACAGTGTTTATGGCACCAGATAGGGAGCCTTGTTTGATTGCTTCTTTGATGGCTCGGCATGCTCGGCTGAAAAACGAGTTAGGCAATCATGAAAACAATGGCTGTGCCAATCCTAATCTGTACCTGCGCGCTCATTGCATGATGGGCTCGAGGTAGTCATAGCTGATAAGCTGCGTCGGCTTGGGGTGCATCGGCGTGCAAGCAGCTCAGCTGAATTTATGCCTTCAGCCTCGTTTGGAACCCGCAAGGCTCTCATGGCGGAAGCTGCCAGCCTCATTGAGAAGTACAAAGTGGACGGAGGTGCTCGGGACGGACAGGGTGGACAGCTGGTCGGTTGGCTATGAGTTTAAACAGGGATCCCCCCGGAAAGTGGGACATTTCGCCCACCTAGAATGATGTCCAACGCTCAGTAAAACGCAAGACGATCCGGATCGTTGATTTGGCCAGGTGGCGACCTGTCAAAGGCGGCAGAGATCCACCAAAGCATCTTGAGTTTCAAACCCGACTGGGAATCTTACGAGGCTCGCCTGGAGTTTTTGTCTCTCGAATCGGCGAGCTGCGCTCTTAGGCCACAAAGGCCCAGGCGCATGTCCTGAAGCTGATCGAGGCGGATGCACCAGCTCGCGTCTGAGCATGGCTCTCCTTTGACAGAGGCGCAAGCGAACAAAAGGCACCTTTGAAGAAATGTGGAGCCGAGGCCATCAAGAACAAGTCCATGATCCAAGGCATGGGGGGAGCCATAGCGCGTGCCCGTCAGTGCGATGTGAGCACACTGATAGGAACCTCCATTCTGATTTGGTTCGCGTTTGAGTTAGACAATGTGTGCGACATTGGGTCGCAGGCCACATCCAGGTCGTGCAGGCTTGCATGAACGTCATGACCCTGCGCACCTGAGATAGCACTCAATTTGGCAACGTTCGGAAGATCGATTTTACAGGCAGATCCTGTTTCCGAGGTGATGACAAGCCTATCCGGTGGCTGCTGACGCTGTTCTATGACATGCTTCGCGAGGATAGCAGCAGCTGCCTGCTTGCATGCGGGAAGGTGGTCGTTTTTGAACGCGTGTTTTGGCTCGTTTTTGAACGCGTGTTTTGGCTCGTTTTTGAACGCGGTTTTGCTCAAGTGTATGTGATTTACAGCAGCACGGCCATTTTCCAAGTGTCCATGCACACCACGATGATGCGCACGAACACGCACCACGATGCACGTGTAGCACATGGATGGCGCCGTGCTTTTGGGAGACAATCGTCAACTGTAGACCCGGGAACACCAAGCACAAGGAACGCAAAGCGACATCATCATCATCAGCATCATCATCATCATCACCATCATCATCATCATCATCATCGTCGTCAACATCATCATCATCATCACCATCACCATCACCATCACCATCATCATTACCATCATCATCAACATCGTCATCATCACTACCAACAACATCACCATCAACACCAACATCATCATCACCATCATCAACATCACCACCAACATCTATATCATCATCATCAACAACACCGTCAACATCACCATCATCACCATCATCATCATCATCATCACCATCATCATCACCATTATCATCGTCATCATCATCATCATCATCAGCATCACCATCGTCAAAATTATCATCATCATCAAACAACATCACCATCGTCCAAATTATCATCAACATCGTCAACATGAACATCATCACCATCATCATCATCATCATTAACAACATCATCACCATTATCAACATCAACGTCGACATCACCATCATCATCGACATCATCAAAGTCATCGCCATCAACATCCTCATCGGCAGCATCATCACCATCATCATCAACATCATCACCGTCATCATCATCAACATCATCATCATCATCAACATGGTCAACATAATCATCATCATCATCATCATCATCATCATGACCATCATCATCAACATCGTCATCATCGCTACCAACAACACCGCCATCACCACCAGCGCGCAGTCGCACGGTCACGCAGTAAGAGGCGAACGTAACTGCCCCACCCCCCCCCCCCAGCCCCAACACGCAGTTGCGCCGCCACGCAGTAAGCGGCGATCGCAATTCCAGGAGGCTCCGATTCGCAAGTTACTTAGGCCGTATGAGCTAAGGAGGTTTTTTGTGTCGCGAGGACAAGATAACTCAGAGCTTGAAATTTCACGAGTTTTCACGGCTTCACGGAGTAGTAGCGGCCTTTCAGTTTCCCGCGCGAGTTATTACGGCCGTTAGACCGAGCTTTCACGGCTTAACGAGCGCAAGTCGCCGAGGACATCTTAGCTCAAAAAGCCAAGGTAACTTGGGACTCGGAGCCTCCTGGTTGCCCCCTTCCCCCAGCCCCAGGGCAGTTGCACGGGCACGCAGTAAGAGGCGAACGCAACTGCCCCACCCCCCCCCCCCACCCCACGGGTGCCGCAGGATAGCCCCCCCATGTGTTCGAAAATGACCCACTCTGTGTTCGAAAATGATCCAGGACATCGGTGTTCGAAAATGATCCAAAATCGGTGTTCGAAAATGATCCCCCTCCCCTTGCATGTCAGAATCAAATTGATCAACTTGTCATAGCATTTTTGGCCTCCTATTCAGCAAGTTGGATCAACCTGAGCTGAATTTGGTCATCCGCACCGGCCGTTGGCCTGAGGTTACGGAATTTTTGAGGAGGCCACTAGACAGAAGATTGAGGCGCGCGCAGAAGTTGTTGTCAGTCGGGTAAGCCTTGGACATGGCAGGTCTACAAGCCATTGATGGCCTTGCTCGGCCGCAAGGACTTGGACAACTACACTGCTGACAAGGCTCGAGCCTCGGGGATCGCTCGAGCCTCGGGAAAAACGCGGGGTCCGCGGGGTCCGCGGGGTCCGCGGGGTCCGCGGGGTCCGCTGCGGTCCGCGTTCCGTGGGTTCTGCCAGGTGAGCTGGCTGCTCTCAGCGGTGATGAGCCACGTGCCGCACTGCGTCTCCGAGGCCTTGAGAACACTTTCGGAGCAGACGAGCTTTGCTCTCGCTTTGCAGCACTCGGAGGCCAATGTCAAGGAGTTCCTGGCTATGGTCTTGGACCCCAGCACTACCTGCTCGGACTTGGGCCAGCTTGAGGCGGGGTTTGTGGAAGCGAGCATTGGAGTGGGTGCCGGAAGTACAGCCAGCATGGTGCAAGAAGGGAACATGTCGTACGTAGCGATACCCTGACGACGATTCGGAAGCAAATGCCTTGGTTAAAGCTGTGTTCAGTGAGGCGATTACCAACTTGGTGAAGTCGAATGCCTTCAGAAAGCTGGTATGGTCGCAGCCTGGACAGGGTCTTGGGATCCAGTGCAGTGCTGAGCACTTTATTGAGGGTGCGCACACTTGCATGTTTGGCTGGCAATTTTCAGTTGGGCAGTTTTCGCCTCGCAATTCTTTACCTATTGTCAGAGGATGTACAAACAAACCTGAGCACATGGGGAAGGCTGGAGTGAACGAGGACACTGGATAAACTACCGCCCTGACAGGAATTGCGGACTGCGTCTTCAAGCGTGGGTCCCAGCGCAGGGTGGGGTGGGTGCTCTGCATGTACAGCTCACATCACTGCGTGCTGGCGTGATTTCAGCCAGGATTCAGCCAAAGTCATCGCCATCTCCACACCTCTATAAGTGCCTTGCCACACATATGTTTTTTTTTTTTGGTGTGTGTGTGTGTGCAGCAAGTCAATCATTCTGGCTGGTATGTTGCCCAGATGCGAGTACGCGCCTAGGTGCATTTTTGCCATCTGGGCCTTGCTTCTTACCTGCAACCCATGTGGCAAGGGCAGCCACGTGGCATCGCACCTTGCCCCGCCGCAGGTCTTTTGACAAGGAGATCACCAGCTCTCTGAAGGAGACTTGCAGCATACTATTCCAGTCTACCGTCTACCCTTGTAGAGACTATAGACGCTGGGAGAATCCAAGTGGGAGAGTGTGCACATAGGAGATGCACGTCATCAAGAAGCTGCGAGAGACTCTGACCTACAGCCGAGTAGAGAAGGCGCGGTGCAAGGCCCCTTGTGATGTGGGTGTGGCTCAAGATTAAACAGAACGGGTTACGCAGGTTTTGGTCCATGTTTCCACTTACCAGGGTTCCATTTTGGTACCGGTTTTTTGAGCCACAGCCATGTGCCCCAGTGCCGAGAGGAAGTGATTGGCGAAAAGCGCACATTCCTTCGCGGGAATTGTTTTTGCGTTCCCCCACTTGCAACCCTTACAACCTGAACCCTAGATGAAGAAACTTTGAGCCCTAAAAGCCCGAGGCTAAATCCAAAACACACCAAGAGGGTCGCACAGTTGACCAGGCAGAACGATCGGGGCAATTCGCATGGATGGGGGTTTTCTAGTGCGAAGCGACTGACTTCGCAGGTCATCCGCTTATGTTTGACGGTTTTGAGGAACTTCCTCAGCAAGCAGCCTAGCACAAGCTTGCTCAGCAGAGATTCTGGCCTGCCTTGCTGATCTGGCTCGAATTTTTGTCAGGTGACAAGAGCCTTTGTGAGGACATTGTGGAGGAGGGCATTTTGGAGGCAGCGCATGGTCAGACTGCCTGGCATGTGCTTGCACGAGCTGTCAGGCAGTCCAGCAGCTTGAATTTGAGAAGTGGAGAGATGCAGAGCTTTATGAAGACATCAAGGAGTGGCATGTTTTTCCAGTCAGAGCATCAGTGGGCAAGACCAAGCCACTTCAATCTCTCAGATCTTCGCCACCAAATCTCTCAGGACATGGCCATTCAGATTGGCTCGGAGGCAGCGCTGGCTGAGCCAAATGGGGGGGCTCCAAATTCGCGACCTAGTTACTCAAGGTCCAGTCTCTGATCCCATTTAAGGTGCAAACAGGTACCATGTACCGAGCAGCCGAATTGCGAGCTGTACTTTATGCGCCTTTGCACCAGGTCAGCGAGATGAGCAACTTTGAGCGCTACGAGCGGGAGTTGCAAACAGGGAAGCTTCACTGGGGTGCGCCGCACCCATGCAAGCGATGGCGATTGAAGACTTCAGTGCAGGCTTCATTCACTCGAGCAAGTTTTGGGCGGAGAACGTGATGAAGTCATTGGACCGCACTCATTTTTTTGAGGTCTTGCGCGAATTTGGCGGCGAACGCTTGCTGGACCAAGGTTTGAATCAAATGACTATAGGGCCAGCTCCTCAGAGCTTGGTTGCTTGGTGCGCATCGGGCTAGGACTCAGTGAACTTGACTTAGCACATTGGGCATGTTTTGCACGGCTTCCGGCGGGAAGATCCTCGCCAGGCGCTGAAAATGTTGGCCTCCCTTTTGCAGAGCTCAGCGACAGACGCTACGACTCTGGCAGTTGCATGCTGGGAGCTCATTGCAAGTGGCTCAAAAAATAGGGAGCCCAAATGGACACCTGCGGGCCCCTGGCCCTGAAGTCTTGAGCCACTCCCAAGTGTCCTCTTTGCCTCACCGGCAGGCTCTCTCATTTCTCCATGACTCACAAAGAAAACAGTGCCATTCAGGCCATGACATTGGGGAGTTTGTCACGCTTCACCCGCTTGGCAAAAAGAAGGCTGGGGTCCGGGTATGTCACAAGCGAAAGCTGACTTGTCCAACTGGTGCCGTTTTGAATGTTTGGTTTCAGGGAGCCTTTGGCTAAGCGGCTAACTATTGAATTCTCGATCGCGTGTACGAAGGTGTGCTTGGCTTTGCTCCAGGTTGCCCAGCTTCAAGTGAAGGAGAAGGCGCGCAACGGCAAGTTGAGAGTGCAAGTGCAGAGAGGGAGGGGAGAGAGAGGGGAGTGCCGGTTGCAGAGAGGGAGAGAGCCTTTTTCATGAGCTCACTTTCGCCTTGCTTTTCCGGCAGGTCATGGAGCTCATGGCCGCCCAGAATCAGTCAAGGGAGGTGCGGCGCGAGGCTCTCCTCTGCTGCGGGGGTCTCAGCTTCTCAATCCCATGCCATTGGGCTCCGTGGCCTATGGCCAGTCATGGCCAGTCATGGCCTCTCATGGCCTCTCATGGCCTCTCATGGGCTATGATGGCCTTCAGTCTTAGGTCAAAAGATCATGCTCAACAAGTGGCAGGCGAGCTTTTCATACAGCCGCAGGGGGTCGAATCTGAAGGTTTCTCTGGTCGAATGCAAGCACGAGTTGTGCTTCCAAAGGGCTGATCACGACCCCCTCCCCCATTTGCCCCGGAGCGCGCTCCGGAAATCTCATGCGCGTTGGACCCCCAAACCAGAAGTACTTCTTGATGCATTTCAGCAAAAATCAAAACCCAGGCAGATAAGATCTTGACTCCTGACATGTCGGTTTTGATTGTGAGCGCCAGGACATGGAGCAGGCGAGCGCGCACGGATGCGAGCAGTTTCAGTTTCGGTTCCGGATGCCGCAAGGTTCCGAAATGAGCTCCGGCTTACCTGCGCCAAGGTGGGAGGGCCTCTTTGGGTCTCTTTTAAGCTCCTTGCCAGAAGCTTGCTCGCAGGTTTTGTCGCCTTTGTCAAGCTTGGTGCGGACATTATTTGGCTTGTACATTAGCTGCCAAGCTAGGGAGCGGTGTGGTATGCACTCGAGCTTTGCAGAGATGTCTGTTTTCAGAATCCATCGAAAGACCAAGCTTGGATTTGAAGCCTGCAAAGCCACCAGTTCGCTTGGCTGCAGCAGTCTCCAGAGGCAATGTACTTTGCTTTACATGTTCGTAGATTCTCTGGTTAGTCTGGTTAGTCTGGTTCGGGATCGTTTCAGGATGCAAGACGAGGTGCGGGATTCAACATATTGAAAGTAGGCGCGCTCGATGGCAGTGCGGGCAATAGTGCTGTAGCCTTTCGGCTGTGCCCTAGATGTTCAGGACCGCATTTGCCAGACGAGTTAAAAAGTGCTTGCATTCTGTTTGCTTTGGCCATGTCTCGCAACTTTTAAATGCAACAGGTCATGTGGCAGAGACTCTTGGTCTGATGCGTGACGGCTCGTGAGGGTTTCCGCCATTACGGCAGCGCTACGACGCGTCTGAGCTGGTGGGCGGCACAGATGGGCTGTTTTGACCTGCGCGGCGCTGAATCGGAAAAGAATTCAGAGATTGAAATGATGAACAGGCAGGGCTGGACCAAGTGATTTGTTTCTCACTTGGAGCACACACACATACGAGAGTTCAGTGTGCGCTGAGAGGAGCAGTGCGCCCTTGAAGCTTTCGCCACGCTTCCTGTCCATGCTGACGCAAGGCCAGCCTTGACTTATGGACAAGCACTGATCAGAACCAATATGCCGGCACATCTTTGATGAGTAGATTTGCATTGCATGCCTCAGGTGAGAGCGGTGAGGGCTTAATTTCTCGTGCCCATCGCGAGATGCAGCGACGCGCATACGAAAGATGGTGTCTCCAGCCTTGGACGCCGAGCACCCAGTTGGACAAACCGTTCAGTAGATTCTGTGGCACCTCTTTCACATGGCTGTGGGTCAAGAGTAGATACCCCAAATGGACCCTGGTAAATGGAACCAAAGACTACAACCTGCCATCTCCTGGTGGGTTAATTTGGACCCATGCCCACATTCTTTCCTGGGCAAGACTCATGTCAGGTCTCCGGAAGAGAACTGGATCCAAGCGGAGCGCAGCTTGGTGCGGCCCTGCGCGCCCGATTGCCCCGACCTCAGCTGGAATCTCCGGCTTCCGGGCTCGGAGCGAGCGAGCTGAGGTCAGAGCGCTGGGAGCGTTTCGGAGGTTTGCCAGGCCGAGAAGAGCGAGGCCGGAGCCGGTGGAGCCGGAGCCGGAGCCGGTGGAGCCGGAGCCGGAGCCGGTGGAGCCGGAGCCGGGGGCGAGAAGGAGACGGAGACTTTACGAAGCCTCGCCGAAGAGCTGGCGGGCGAGCGGAGGCGTGCGCAAGATCTTGCTCGGCGCCTCAGCGAGGCGGAAGCCCGAGCTGCTAAGTTAGCTGCTAAGTTGGAACAGTTGGCTCAGCCATGTGCTGCGGACGCAAGCGATTTTTTCGAGCTGGAGCACAAGTCCTGCCCCGTCGGGCAGACCTTGCCCAGGTTCCGGAAAAACGTGGTGTGCGAGGAGCAGTCGGCCATGGCCCTGCCATTGCCAGGCGAACTAGAGACGCCGAGGCAAGCAGCCCAGCAGCTCTTTGACGTGGCGCCGCCTGTCCAGCGAATGACGCCCACCCGTGGTGCCATGTTCAGTTGCAAGAGCAGTTCCCAAAGTGCGTTGCCGGCCTCCACCCAGTGGACCGCCCTCCGTGGGGAGCTTTCGAGCCAAGTTCCTCAGGTGCCGAAGTTGGCGCTTTCCAGGTTGGAGCCCTTTTCCCCCAAGGGCGACTTCTCTGCCCGCGACTTCTCTGTTCGCGGGGACCTCTCTGCCCGCTCTGGCTGCGACCGCGTGCTGTGGCCCGGCTCCAACATGGAGCCACCGCCCGCCCTGCCAGCACCACCAGCGGAGCACCCGCTGATGACGCCGCGCACCGGGGCGACGCCACAGCCCACACCCCGCACAGCCACGCCCCGCGCCGCCACGCCTCGCACCACTCCGCGAGCCACCGGGGTCACGCGCACGAGGAAGGCGCCCTTCGTTCCAAAGCTGCCGCTGCACAAGGCGCGAACAGCGATTTCGAAAGTGAGACTACTGTCATGGGCGCACCAGTAGGCTTCCTGCAGTTTGCTTTCATTTTCCCAGGAGGAAGTCTTCATGCTGGGTACTCCTCGCCAACCTGTGCAGTTTATGAAAGGTGCGGGGCTTTCATGCGAGCCGCGTCTTGCCAGTCATCATCATTCCTGTGATCCAGGTGTTTCCAGCCCGAGCCCCATCCATTCACGACTCTCGGACAGAACTAGCGCCCAGCCGCGTTTTTCGCGCGTGCTCTGTGCTAAGGAAGCCCAAGTCCTAGTAGCTCGGAGGGCAGCCTGGACGATGCCGACAATTGGGACCGCGTTGCATCGCAGCTCGTCCATTGAAAAAGAGAGCGAGCGAGGGCAAAGCCTTTGGATCTGAGGATAGAAACGGTTGCCTCGCAAGAGGAGGCATGCGCTGCGCGAGCGCGTCTGTTCTGAGTACCTCCGAGCGCACAAATCTGCGAGGTGTCGATGACCTACCGAAGCCGAAGTGAGAAGGTGTTGTCGGTGGGCCGTTTTGCCGTTTTGAGTCCCGCGGGACTGGACTATTGCCAGGAGCGCAGCAACTACAGCGTCTGTGGGCTCTATGGTACGGGTCAGGATGCGGAGGTCCAGGTGCTCCGCAAGGCTGGACTTGCAGCCCGAACTTTCTTTTTGGACATTGTGATATATGGCTGTTAATGGGATCCCAATTGGGGGTAGGTGCACCGCCCATTTTATACTACATGAGTGGGGATTGGGATGTTCACTGTGGGTACGCGCTTTTGACACATGGCCATGTATCATTTTTTGAGTAAAACAACACCTCGGACGTGATTCATATGATCCAACCCGCTTAAAGCGGTTCCCCAATCATTGAAATCCATATTGGAACTTCGACAGGTGATCCGAGACTTGGAGCAGCAGCTGCAGGCCGGATTTTGAGTGAAACATGCTCTCGGCTGCGTGGTTCGTTTCTTTCAATCTGAGGAAGGGAGACCTTGTTGTTTCCACAGATGCCTGGTCTCTGCGAGCTCTGACCCCAAGGTTCGCTCATGACTATTGTTTGATCTGGGTTAATTACATTCCTGGGCCGTCTAACCTTGACTCGTGCACGTGTTGACTGGTTTCAAGATCGAAGCGCATCCGAGCGAGTCGGTGCGTGTTTAGGCTCCCAGTGCTCTCCACCTCTCATTTGAGCGCCGCCCAAAACCCCTAATTGGCGATTTTACAAGGCTCTTCTACGGCCTGGCTCAACAAGGATTAGAATGAGACCATACAAACCTTCGTGCCCATGGTTGCAGAACCAGAAGTGAACCAGTTCTGGGCACTGCGCATCCAACGTGAAGTGCGTCAGCATAGAATTGCCAGGATCAGGCACAGGAGCTAGCTGTTTGGCGTGGGCAAGGCCGGCGCTTGCCTTCGCATCGCGTGGCAGGCATTCAGTCTTGATGTGACAGGTCAGTGATCCTATCTAGACTCGCAGCTTCTTGTCTGACCTTCTTGCGTGGTTGGAAGTGCTGGGCTGCTGAGCAGCTGATTTAGTTATGCTGCGGAGGCACCGTAGACTTGCCAGCTGTGACTCTCTCAGAATGTTTACCGGAGAGCTTGCGCATTCTCATTCTTGCTGCTGGTGGTGCATGCAGTATATTTGTTGTGGCAGCTGTTCTCTGCCAGAATGGTTTCTATTGATTTCAGAGTTTGCTTGTGTCTGTTGTGCTTAAGACCCGCCTTGTACTGGCGGCCTTGCATGGTACAGCACACCGGGAGGCATTTTCCAAGTGTACCCGCTCAATGCGCGCACTTTCGCCTTCGTCAGGAGTCGGAGCTGACGTCAATTTTTTTAGGCTCCGACTTGCAGCGCCAAACGGCAGCTTGCGCTGGTGGATCACCAGCGAACCGTTCGAAGTTTGACGAATATTTGCAGATTTATCACAATTTAAGGACTGTTGCGACTGTCTGCCCACAAATGATTGTGCAGAGCCAAAAGGCACAAACGGGCCGCTTCCGGGTCGCACTGTGCTTGCAACCAATGCCACAGGTGTGAAATGGGGGGAGGGGTCAGGGAGGCACCAGCGCGGCTCGCAACCTTGGCTGGAGTGAAGCCCAAATCTCCGCGATGGAGAGGAGCAGGCGCCGGTTTTGCATCGAGAGGACGCTGAGTTGTTCCTTGTTCAGGCTGGCGAGAGCGGCCTCCACAGGCAGCCTGCCGGGCAAGGCGTGACCTCTTGCCCGAGAAAAGGCGATGCTGGTGCTGTCAGGCGAAGCATGGGAGGCTGGAGGACGAGGGTTGGGACTTGAGAAATTTGGCGGGGTGAAAAGGGTTCGGTCAGAAAGCCGGGGCACACATTCTGATCCTGAAGGATCTTTGCCGTCCGCGGCTGGGTCGCGCGAGCGTTCGATCAAACGGGCGCGCCAGCCTGAAAAGGCTATCTGCGAATCACTGGGTGCGGCAACCCACAGCTTGGGCCCTTTGCTCGAGGTGCTTATCACAAGCCCTTCGAGGCAGAACGGCAGAATGCACTGCAAGCACTGCAAGTTGTCAGTGAGGGCGAGATTGATTTGTGCTTTTATTGCCTGTGCAGCTTGCAGGTCGCTTACCGGGAAATAGCAGAGCTTCGAAACTTTCGCCGGCTTGAGGCAGTGTTCAGCTCACAGCTTTTGCCCGACGAACGGAGTGATGCCAGAATCTCTTCGTGGAAGCAGACGCAGATCGCTCCGGAGAGATGAGCTGCAGCCTTGGAGAGAGCGACCGCGCCGCCGAGAATCGTCGCTCTCTGAGGCCTGGACGAGTTTCGGAATGCGCTGCGAAAGCCGTGGTTCCAGAGGCGGACGTTTCCAGCCAAACGAAAAGCACGCCGTCGGTGAATTCACGAAGCGCGCGTCGCGTGCGACGGTCCTGCGAGGTCCTTTTCGCTGCTTGGCGTCCAGCCGCACCAGGCGGAGGCGCGGGCTCGGCCGTGACTTCGGTCGCCGGGGCCGTGCCATGGGAGCCGAAGAGGTGGTCTTCAAGAAAATGAACAAGGCCAACGCGGAGGTGCCATTGGTCCGAAATTCGTTGGGTTCATTGGGTTCATTGGGTTCATTGGGTTCATTGGGTTCATTGGGTTCATTGGGTTCATTGGGTTCATTGGGTTCATTGGGTTCATTGGGTTCATTGGGTTCATTGGGTTGGCCAGGAGATCGGCATCTCGGATTTCATGCAGGGCCTTGAAAGCCTTTTGGGCACAGATCTCGACGGACCGCCCCGGGATCTGGACGTCTCATCGCCCATTCCTCGGACCTGAGACGTATCTCCCGTGATCGAAGCGCGCCCCAGGCTGAGCTCGCGGCTCCAGGCCAAGACGAAGCTCACCGTGAGCCCGTCTCGCAGTCCTGGGACTCAGCGAGGCGAAGCGGCGAAGTGGCGAAAGTCCGGATGGCTGAGGCGACCCCTCGCTGTCCCTCTCCAGCCAGGGCAGCACAGGCCATGACGTGGTGCCATCCCGCGGTGCAGTGTGCAGTGTGCAGGTTGGGATGGGCCTGTTCAAGGCCGGCTTGCGACAGAGCCATGGACATGAGACGGGAGCTTGCCGCAGGCTCTGACCATGAGCCGCACAGCTGCAAGGGGCGGCGCCTTGCTGCACAAGTGTGACTGACTCAGGAGGCACATCTCGGCGGCGATGGCGGTGCTTTCGCCAACCACAACGGTCAAGAAGAAGGCAAGCGGGTCGGCTGTGTCGAACTCAGCTCCATAGGGCATTGGCCATGCTGTCGTGCAGGTCACGCGTCGCAGGGCATCAACGAACCAGGCGGCACTTGGAGAGTTTGCCTTGTGATCTCGCGGCTGTTGAATTTTGTCAGGCTACTGAAAGGGAGAGCCAGAACACCGCGGATGGCTCACCCACCAACACGGATCGCCGACTTCAGGTGAATTGCGTGCATGCTCCATATGAAGTGACTGGCATAGTGGGCAGGCCTTTCTACAGTGAGCGCTTGACTTGTACTGTAACAGCTTCCAGAGTCGTCATACGGTTCAAGCAAGTCATTACCCTCGCCCTCACACAGGGCAAAGGGAGTAGCAGTCTGGAGCAAGGCACAATCGTTTTGATACATGCTGCATTCGCATGAAAGACAAGTGGTCCATGCACTTTGCTCCCTGTCACTTTGTTCCTTCCTGTATTTGGAGTGCCAATGCAAGATTGCCAAAGGCATCTTGCTTTTGAACTGGGAGCCTGCAAACACAGTTTATTGGGTGTTTAACATGACTTTTGGCATCCAGTTTAATTCTGGCAGTGTAAGAGCTGTATCGAAAAGCCGCGCATGTCGATTGCGAGCTCCGATTGATCGGTACCTTGTGCTCCTGCAGCCGAGCTCAGCTTGGAGGGGTGGAGTGGCATCTTATGAATTCCACACAGTCAATCTCGGCAAACTGGCTCTACCAGGCATCAGAAGTGAAGCAGTCTCTTACGAACCAAACGTCCAGATCTTCAAGTTGAGCTTAAAGAGCAGCACATGCACATAGAAGACCACAGCGGAATGTTGCAGGCATTTCTTGCATGTGCCCCATGAGTAACTAAGGTGAAGGCGAAGGGTAATTCCTGAATGATCCTTGGCGCATCAAGACATTTGCGCAGGGGTGATGGAGGACAATGCTTGGACCATTCAGCAGCGAGAGCAACAGGCTGTGGATGCCTATTGTGCCTCGGCAAATGGTACAAGCATCTCATTGCCTCTTCCGGCCCTGCCCTAGGTCAGAAGCATGGCATCGAGCAATTTATGGAGGAGCTGGTCTCGGAGTATCTCTCTGAGCGGCCCAAGGACGTGGGGGACTCGCTTGCAGTCCGAGGAGCTCGAATGCTTTGATGCAACGTAGGACCTGACGCCGAAAGAGTTCTTTGCTCAAAAGCTCAGGCGCGGAAGAGGGCGCTTTTGTGTTGGCTGGTTGACCTGCAACTCAGGACGCAGCTTGGGGATGAGGCACCGCTTAGTTTTTCCATATCTTGGCTCTGCACAAAGCTCGGCAACTGTGAGGTGAGCCCGACGGGCCAGGCGGGCAGCCCATTTTTAATTTTCAGCTTCCAGCTTTCAGCCTCAGGTGCCCAGCTCCGCTCGGCAGCTCTTTGAGGCCACGAAGAAGCGCCGCGGAAGATGTTGTCGGATGCTGCGCGTCGGGTTTGCGCGTCGGGTTTCCCAGGTAAAACAAGCCAAGTGCCGAGTTTTTGGTCTTAAAACCAGCCAAGTGTTCATCATCCAGTGAGATTAATGTCCTTAGGGTCAAGGAGAAGCGACATTGGACCATTGGACACCCCTGGGGACTCCATGGCTGATCGAGCGGGGGCAGTTGGACAGTTGGATTCCTCGGACTCGGCGACCTGTCTTGAGTTGCTATGGTTGGACCGGGGGCAAATATGCGGCGCTTTTGTCTCAGAATTATTTGGTTGAAGAATGCTGGGCAGAAGCGTGACCTGAGTGTTACTCGATCTTGTGGCATTCGGTAGTAAATTACAGTAGCATCTGACGCGCAGAACGGCGCAGAACAGCTCGAGATTGAATTTGTTGAGTCAGCCATGGCCAATACAGCTGGATCGCCCTTCCCTGACAACTATGTTTCGCAGCTGTGCCTCATGCACGGAGTCATGCCGCCCATTCGCAAGCTCCAGAGCCTGCTGGAGTCCTGCTCCCAGTAATCGCAGGCAGTTGCAGACAGTTTCGGCAATGAGAACTTGGTAGGCGTGGCGGGCATCGACTTTCGCACGGTGCAGAGAGAGTTGGAGCTCGGGCGGCCGGTGGCCGTCATGACCAAGCAGAAGGGAAGCGGTGATCAGCTGGCCAGGCGGCAAAGGCTGGCGGAGTTGTTGGCGGTGGCGGTGGCCTTGCTTTCGTCTTTGCGCTCGGCGAGGTGGCAGTGTGTGGGAGAACGGGAAGCACTACTGGCCAGCTTGTGGAAGGCGTGGCCGTTGGCAAGCTGGGGGAGGCGCTCTTGCTGGCGCAATGGATGTTGCGATTGTAGCGCCCATTGTGGCCAGCCGAGGAATGGGCGGCGCGGCTGCAGGGGCGATGTACGGTGTTGGCGCTGCAGTTGGAGTGGTCACACTTGGCTTCCTCCTTATGGGATGTCTCCCGACGGTCTTGAGGCCAGATTACCGCTGTGCAACAGCGCAAGAACTTCGCATCCGGAGCCGGCGGTGCAGTCGGCGGTGTTTTGGCAGGAGTGTCCGCTGCGGCTGGCGCTGTAGCCCTGGCATCGAACCCGGTGGGGTGGATGGTGGCAACCGCCGGAGTGGCAGGTGGACTGCTGGGCGGCTTTGGTTGCCGGCAATGCGCTGGACCGGGCCATTTGGCATGCCTCAGAGGATGACGTGATGCACGCCTATGAGTTCTTCAGGCACCACGCCAGACGCAGAGAGCGTCCCCAGATCGAGGCAACGGACATGGACAAAGTACAAGGCCCGCATCGAGGAGAACAAGGACTTAGTCCGCCAGTAGCACCCTTTTGCCCTTTTTGTTGATTGGTTTCCTTATACTAAGCCACTATCCAATGGAACAAACAAAAAAAACAAGGTTTTCCTTCATTCCCCTGAAGGACGATGAGTCCTGGGTGCAGACCTAAAATGCTCTTCTGCCTGGTGCAAGCGATGCACCCGCACCTCAAGGACTTGATCGTCGTCGGAGAGAACATGCGGTCCATGCTGGCACTTCGCGAGGCCACCGCCGAGAAGCTTCTGAACATGGCCGCCATCAATGGGTGAGCTGTTCCGTGTACTGTCAAATTTGCAGAAAGGGACGTTGTGAGCGGGGTGTTTGCATCATGTTTGGGGATGTGTGTTTCCCCGAAATCCAAGATACGGATGGAGTTTGTGTCCGAAAAAGGGCTGACGTGGTGCAATGCAGATGTACTACACACTACATTTGTCTGATTATGCGGGTTATTCGCAATGTATGAAATCAAGCGGGGTTTCACGAAGCTCGATGGCTAAGGATCATGTCCGAGATTGTTCCAAAGGAGACGATCCGGGCGTTCTCCTCGGCATTTTGCTGGACTGCAGAGGGGAAGAGCACTCGCACGGCTTGAGGTGATCATCGAAGAAAGCCTGAAGCTTTTGAGCTGCGACCGTATCTCGCTGTTCGTCTTCGACAAGCGACTCGAAATGCCTCGCGCCTGACGTAAACGGCTTGGAACGGGCGCCGCCCCATGCCCCCCGCGCCAAGGCTGGTGCTCAACGCCTCCAACTTAGAGCAGCCCATCCGCGTGAGGCCATTTGCGGTAGGGGCGACGTGTCCGCATCTCCCGTGGCCCGTGGTTTCTGTAGGCCTGGGCAAGGCATTGCGGGCAAAGTCTTCAGAAGTGGGTACCTGGGCAGCAGTGGCTCTGGAAGGCTTCCGCGAAACATGACCTGTGCAAAGACAGGTCATAGGATGTGCTTGAGCCTAGGCAGATGGTGAATATCGCCGCACCTTTCCTGATGTTGTGAGCAATTTGCACAGCTTGCGGCAATGATTTAGCGACGGCGCAACTTGGCGCACTCTGCGTATCACCGAAGCGGCGTCAGGACTGCTATAGTGATCCTCAATTTGATCAGTCCTTCGAGTCTTGGCAACTAAAATGTAAGGGTGATTTTGTCCGACATCTGAAACGAAGTTGTATATGTGGTTCATTCGCTTCAGAAGAAGTAGTGGGAATCCTGCTTACTGACTGCGGCCACGATTTTTGCATGATGTGACTCAATGTGTACCGCTTCTCAAGGCACTTGCATTCTCGCAGGTTGGGTCAACCAACCCAATGGTCAATGGGGGAGGGCCATGCGCCTCACAAAATTTCCAGGAAGAGAAATCACTGAAGTCCCCATGCCCATGAGGGGGGGCCATGTGTCTGAGGACAAGGAATCTGGGCACCTTGTCTGCAGTCCAAGACCGGAGACCGGGCCCTTTGGCGTATCGCCGAGGTACAGGACGCAGAGCCTGCTGGCCATTCCCATCGTGGACTTCGGAGGGACTCTGCTGGGAGTGATTCAGGCCATCAACAAGCTTGGTGACGCAGGCTGGGCATGTTGAATCTCCTTGAATTGCCCCACCCCTCCAAGAAGCATATGCTGGATCTGTGCTTTTTCTTCCGCTTTGACAGGGAAGAGCTTTGGTCCCACAGATGAGATCCTTTTGGGCAATCTGGCAGACCAGGACCTGAGCTCAGCTTGGAGCCAAGAGTCAGAAAGCAGAGAGGCTGAGTGAGGTGTCCGTCGCGCTTCAAAACGCGGAGTTCTACCGCGCAGCGATCGTGTCCAGCGAAAGAGCCACTGCCTCCTAGCTGCAGGCTTCACGCAAACGCCCAGCCAACAAGGATGCAAGACAAAGCTGCTTTGTGTCTTGCTTTCTTGAGGCCTTGTTGCAGATGATGCAATTCATGACCCAAGATTTGGGTGCTCAGTCTTTGATGCTGTCTGTGTCTGCCTGAGCATTTTAGTCTTCATTTGAGCCTCGCATTCGTCCAAAACACAGGTGGCAACTCATGCCAGCGAACTGGTTCGAGCAGATCGCTGCACCGTCTTTCTGGTGGATGACAGGCCCTAGGGCACTTGTGCGTTGCGAGAGCCATTGGAACTTTCGGCATTCGACTTGTGCTGATGGCTTCGAGTCCGTGCCCCAGGGCTGGCGAGCTGATCTCGATTGCAAATGAGTCAGGCCAGGAAATCAGGCCGGCTTGGTGTGGTCCCTTCCACCAACAACCACCTCTTGCGGTGGGGAGGGGGGGGACAGCTGTGCTGAAGTTGACCTGACAGGCTGCCCAAGTCATATGGCATCGCCGGCGAATGTGCGTCGCAGAACAAGCTGATCGTCATTGACGACGCGTGTGTAACGGCAGGTCGGCCAGGTGCAGGTGGCTTGTTTGGTGCCCGAGGTACGAAGATGCACGCTTTGATCCCGAGTCAGACAAAGGTTCGGGCCTCTGAAATCGCAGTGGGGACCCTTGCGTGCCGCCGAAGCCGAGGCTACCGAACTCGGAGCATCATCGCCGTGCCGGTGAAGCGGCCACCTGCAAAGGATTCGGTGTGCGCCGTCATTCAAATGAGCCTCAGAGGAATGTGAGAGTAGGTCATATCTTTGGTTTGCTTTGTGCGACGATGGGAGAAGATTCTATTCAGATCAAAAGCAAGAAAGTTTTACACCCGAGCAGTTCGTTAGCCTCCCTCCATTTGGTACCTATTCTTTTGCATTCAGAAACCAAAAGGACCTTGAAACCCGGGAAACCTTGCACAGGATGAACAGAGTGCGGCACTTCATTGCCTCCTACCCGCCTACTCCCTTACCCCTGCCTTTCTTATGGCATTCGCCCCCTTGCGCTTTCCAGCCAGCGGAGTCCTTTGAGTGCCTATCCGTCTCAGGCGCTCTCTAGGGCGTGGTCCAAGACTCGCTCGTGTGCGCCAGTTGAGCGCGTAAACTGTCAGGTGGAACACAAAACCGGCTCAAGCGTTCCAGAGCGTCAGCAAGTAAAAGGAAGCAAAGCTGATCGAGCCAGTTTCCAACTAGCTCGTTTGCTAGATGAATCCTCTTTCGATTTTCGTAGGTTTTGCTTCCGGAAATATCGCACAACTGCAGATGCCACTAATCAACTATGTGTCAAGAAGGGGATGTCGCCCAAACTTGTGGCTTTCCCTTCTGTTTCCCTTAAATTTCTCCTCAACCAACAAAAGGTACCCTCAAGAATTGAACCCCTTTTCCAAAGTGTAGCCAGCGGAGACGGCCAGTCCAATGTGAAATCTGGGCATCTGTCTCGGATCCACGTTTGCCAGTCCTTCAAGTTGACTCGCAAAGCACGGGGCCTTTTCCTTCCACATGTTGAGTCGTCTACTTCGGCATGGAAGGGGTTTCAATCACTCGCCCAATGGTGCACTCGACAAAGCTCGATGGCATTATTTTTTTGGAGCACGGTCCGGCAAGTGATCAAGCTCTTCAATATTTTGCATTGTAGCATTTTGCTTTGGTTGACATTTAGCTCATGTTGTGCTGGATCCTGAAAACGCGGGACCAGAGTGTAATTGTAAACGCTTCGCGTTGCCCGCCTCGGCCCAGCCTAGTTTGAGGGAAGGGTCAGGAACACCGAAATCCAGTGTTGGGAAGGTCCGAATACCTGAAGCTGGCTCCAGACAAGTCAGACAAGCCGGCCTCGCCTGGTTGGGCTGGGCCACAGGCTAGTCTCAGACACATCAGATAAGCCTGCGCTGGGCCTGAAGCTAGTCTCGGGCAGCTTGGCTGGACCTTGCTTGCGTGGGTTGTTGGTTGAGCTGAAGCTAGTTTACGGCGGGCTGGGCAGCCGCACTGAGGGGGCTGGGCTATGGCTGGGCTGGGCCTGAGGCCAGTTTCAGACACGTCAGACAGGCCTGGCCAGCAGGCGGACTGGGCTGGGCTAGACGCTAGTTGAGCCCAGGCTGGTGAGGCCCAGTCTCGGCGCTAGATAGGCTGAGGCCTGCGAGTCTCAAACCGGGTGGGCTTGGGTGGGGTTGGCTTAGGCGGGTTGCTGGTTGGGCTGGGCCTGAAGCTAGTCTCAGCCACGAGGCTGCGAAGCCATGGGTGGTGCTGGGCAGCTGGATTATGGTGTTGGTTGCGCCTGGAACTTCGGCTGGCTGGGCTGAGCTGTGCTTGGGCGGGTCGCTGGATGGGCTGAGGCTGGGTAGCGAGTTGCTGGCTAGGCTGGGCCTGAGGCCAGTCGCAGACACGTAAGACACGCCAGCAGGCGGGCTGAGGGACTGGGCCTGAGGCTAGTCTCAGGCTGGCATACCTTGAGACCAGTCTCAGACTGCGCCGAAGGGGCCTGGTCAGCCTGGGCTGCTGAGTAGCTGGCATAGCTTGAGACCAGTCTCAGACACGTGAGACTGGTCGTTGGCCTGAGGTCAGTCTCAGACACGTTAGACAAACCTGACCTTGGCACACTGGGTTGAGCCTGCTGGTGGGCTGGGAGGTGGGGGCCGGTAGTGGCTGGCATGCCCTGAGATGCGCTGGGGCCTGGGCTGGGCAGGCTTTGGGCTGGGCCTGAAGCTAGTCTCAGCCACAAGGCTGCGAAGCCATGGGTGGGTTGCTGGCTGCCGGGCAGCCGGACCAGGCTGCTGGTTGTGCCTGGAACTTGGGCTGGGCGGGCTGGGCTGAGCTGTGCTTGGGCGGGTTGCTGGATGGGCAAGGCCTGTTTCATACACACTTGGGCCTGAGGCTGGGTGGCGAGTTGGCTGGGCTGGGCCTGAGGCCTTAGGCTGGCGTACTTTGAGACGGGGCTGGGCCTGCTGGATGACTTGGGGCCAGACGCGAGCAGGAGGTCAAGGCTTGGCCAGCCTGGGCTGAGTTGCTTGGGCAGCCGGACTGAGGGGCTGGGGCACGTCAGACGGGCTTGGTGGCTGGCACCAGTTTCTTTCAGACACGTGAGACTGGGTCGTTGGCGTTAGACAAACCTGACCTTGGGGCCGGCCTAGGGCCTGGGCTGGGCGCTGGGCTGGGCTTGTTGGATGACTTGGTAGGCCTGTTTCAGACAAGCTTGGGCCTGAGGCTGGGTGGGGCTGACAGGCCTGGCCAGCAGGCGGGTTGCTGGTTGGGCTGGGCCTGAGCCTAGTCTCAGACACGTCAGGCAGGCCTGGCCACCAGGAGGTCATGCTTCTCAGGACAAAAAAGCAATTTTTTAGTGATTTTCGCAATTGTCAGCACATTTTCGACAAAAATGGACCCATGGAGCTGGACGCCGACGAACCCCGAAAATTTCAAGGCCCGCCGGACAGGATTTTGGGCCAGCCGACATGGGTGGGGGGGGGTGGGGGGGGGGGGCGGCCCGGCAAAATTTTGGTTGGGGAGGGGGTTGGGGGAGGGGAAAAGCGAAGATTCTCTTTGGAGAAGAGATCTGAGCGCCCTTGGCCCCTTTGGGGCCGAGGCGAATTTGCTCAGGATCAACAAGCAAGACTTCGACGATGAGATCGGAAGGTTTGATGAAGAGGACGTCCAGGTGCTCGAGACGCTCGCCACCTTTGTGGCAACGCAGCTGGCGGAGTCCACGTTGCTCGTGTCCGCAGACGCTCGGCCTGGCGTTTTAGGAAGGCGTTGCCATATGCGAAAGCGACTGGCTAAGGCCAAGCATGGGAAGGTGGGCTCAACTTCTCGTGTGGCAGAAGTCGAAATGGAGATGCGGGTGGTGACTGTGACATTGCGTGAGTTTCGGATTGCATGAGAAATCACAGAGTCATGAGAGTAGCTTGAGACTGTGCGACAGGGGCATGATACCCTTGAAGCCATGCCTGAGCACGTACCGGAGCACAGAGGAAGCTTTCGTAGCCCCAGGCTTCTTGGCAAACGGCCAGGTGTGTGTTTGCATTTGTGCAGCGCCGCCATTCATCACGGAAGCGCTGCGCAACCAAGGCATAACGATGCCACCATGAAGGTGGAGCGTTGCAGCCAGTTGCGGCAAGTTGCAACCATTCTTTTTCTTGGGCGCCCTCGTTCATGTCTGGATGTGAGATGCAACGGTACCTCACAAAACGATGAAGCACTTGCGGTTGGAGCTTTTGTTTGGATGCAATGTGAAGGCAGTGATTGAGGAGGAAGAGGAGGAAGACTGAGCGGGCAACAGTTCCTGTGGGGCCTGCAATTTTTTGCTTGCGCTCGCTTGGCCACATTTCACCAGAGCTGCTGCAACATGCGGGAGCCCATGGCTAGCGACCAACAAAAACTTGGATTTGCTGTTTAGTCACTGTACTCCGTACAGAGAGACTTGCATGTGCCACAGCACTGGACAGCGCTCCGAGCCGGCGCATCTTGCACCACACAGCTTTTCTGAGTGTATTGAGAGGGTATGCATGTTGAGCTTCTCCAGAGCACACGGACAAGAAGCAGCCCAGATGAGCGAATACACATTGTGCCGCTGGTGAATGTCGAGCTGACTTCTCTTGGAGGTATCACAGCGCGGTTTCCTAGTTCACTGCTCATGTGGCAATGAGCCTTGACTGCTTTGCCGGCTGCCGAAGACTGGACAGCCTCTGGCGAGCTTTCGTGAAGAAGCCGTGCAATGCGCGAGGACTGGAGATGGCGCGGGACTTCCAAGCCATCTGAGATTTGGTCATGCTGCGGCTTGGACAGCGCAAGGGGGAAGGGGAGCTATGGGGTCGCGAATCGTGCGCATGGCTCAGGCGGACTCACGAAAGCGGAGGTGGAGAGATACGGGCGGCAGATTGTCCTTCCCAGCCTGGGGCCTGAGGGCCAGAGGCAGCTTCTTCAAGGTCTGGGAGCCCATTCGGATCTTTGGATGCTTAGCTGGCAGGAAGTGTCCTCATTGTTGGAGCTGGTGGTCTCGGTTGCCCCGTTGCGCTGTACCTTGCTGCAGCAGGCTGGGAGTCGGAAGCCCCTTCTCTGTCGTTGTTTCTTCTTTCTTTCTTTTTTTGTTTCCCTCGTGCGCAAGGCGTTGGGCGCCTGGGCATCGCGGACGCGGACACGGTGGCGGTGAGCAACTTGCACCGGCAGATAGGGCACAGCTGCGGCGGGGCGAAGGCGAAGGCGAGGAAGGCGGAGTCCTTGGCGCGGGCCTGCGCTGCGTTGAACGACGCGGTGCGCCTGGAGCCCCACCCGGTGAGACTCAGCGAGCTCCAAGCGGCCGCTCGCCTCATGGCCGGTCGGAGGCTCGGAAAGAAGGCGGAGTCGGATTCCCCCCGGAAGAAAAAAGAAACATGGGCAAAAAGTGGAGGCTGTGAAGGGGTAAAGTTTTGAGGGGCCTGGGGAAAACCGATTGGGCAGAGATGTCCAGAGTGGCCACAAGGCTATGATCTGGTGGTAGACTGCACTGACGCGCCGCCGAGCCGGTACCTGCTGAACGACGCTGCTCTGTCGGCGTCGCGGCCGCTGGTGGCGGCATCTGCTGTGGGGTGCCTGGGCTGGAGCTTCCGCAAAATGGATCCTTCGCCGGAAGCTGAGGCTGAGCGGACAGCTGGTCATCTACAACTTTGAGGGCGGCCCCTGCTTGCGGTGTGCGGCTCGGTCGATTGAGAGAAGCTGGCGGTCCCCTCCTTTTGCTTTCAATGGTCGTGTGCGGCCCCAGGCAAAAGGAACGCACCAGGTGGCCGAATGGGGGCTTCTTGCACAGAAGCGCACACACGCATAGCCAAGCAGCAGCCTGTGGGCTGTCTTATCTTGCACAACTGCAGAATTAAGCACTGAGGCTCAGCTGTTTTCAGTGGTGGACAGTTCCCAGTTCAATTTTCACTCTCAAAGGTGCTTCCACGCCTGCTTTGTCCTTCCTGCCAGCCTCTGATCCCACAGTTTCGCTTTCTCTTTGGCCCTGGGACTGAGTGCCTGGATGCATGTGCCTATCCCAGTTTTCATGTGGCAGTCCCCATATGTCCCTTTGCAGCCCGTGCCACTCTTGGACAAGTTTCCTCTTGCAGAGGGAATATGGGGCGCCCTTTGTGACTCAGGTGTTCCCAGTGCTGGTGTCACCGGCTGACGCCGAGCCCGTGGCATCCTGTGAGGAGAACGGGGTTTTGGGTCCCATTGTTGGCACAGTGGGCTCCCTTGCCGCGCTTGAGGTGATCAAGGCAGGGGAGGGGAAGGACGATGTGACACAAAATTTGACCACTTGCATTGGGCTTCAGAGTGCGATCGCATGGCTCCAGTCCACCTTCAGGTGCTGGCCAAGGGCTCGAAGCTCCACAACGCTTGTCTTAGGGGCAAGATGCTGCTGTTTGAGCCGATGAGCACACTGCAGCCTTGCCGAAGCGTGCGCATCCATAGGCGCCATCCGCGTTCGCCTGGGCGCTTCTCTGAAAGAGATGGGTACAGAATTGGACCGCAGGTTAAATCGTCCATGTTTCCATTTACCAAGCCTTTTTGGGTACCTATTTTTCACCCACAGCCATATAGATTCTGCGGAAAGCCACGACTTTGCAGCGACCCTTGCTGAGTCATGTCAAGCCAGAAGCGTCCATTGCGATGGCGATGTACGGTGCAAGCATTTTGTCCGGTCAGAAAACGTGTAAAACCCCTCCTTCGTGTGCCCTGAATTGGCCATGTGCCCGCCACAAATCAAGCGCCAGCTCCTTCAACAACCTGCCCATGTCAAGATGATTGGGCACTACAAGTGCTGACATCCAACAACTGCAGATTCGAAAACATTCTCTTTGCTGCTTGCAACTCCTATTCGCAAGTAGAACAAGAGCGGACACTATCACAACGTCCAGGGATTCGTTTCAACACCCGCAACCTCCGCCAAGCTGTCGAACTGCCGAACTGCCAGTCGAATGTGGCAATATTTGAGGCGCGTGGATCGGCGCTTCCGTGAGGCAGCCGACGTGCAAGGGCTGCGGCGGTGCCCAGGACGCGCCCATGCCCCCTGGCTGTGCTGTACAACTGGAGGATGAGTCCGTGGGCGCCTTGCAGAGGAACAGGATTGTCACCAAGCCAACTGTCCCAATGTGTCAATTTCCCCGCAAAAAGGGAGGAAAGACCCTAATGTGCCAGGCTCATTCTTGTTTGGTTCTTAGAGCGACAGCTGGGGACTTCGCCAATGCACGTGACCCTTTTATGTATGGTGCTTGAACGATATCCACAAGGAAACAATGCAGGAAACCGCCCAATCTCAAGTAACCCAAGAGTAGACCTGCGCTCTAGACCTGGGTGGCTCGCCCTTTTTTTTTTTGGGGGGGGGGACCCTAGGATTAGGAAGTGAGTGGATAGACAGGAGATGGTGAGGCATTTTCTTTCTCTCTCACCATACTATCCACTCCTTCCACAGCGTTCAATCTCCCCTTAGGATCTGGACCCAGCTGCAGGCGATTCCAAGAGCTGCAAAGGACAGATGGGTCTCTCTTCCTCTTCTTTTCCTTCATTCACTTTCTCTACAAATCTATTCTCCAGAAGACTCCAAATGAAGGAAAGGACGAAGCTCAAATGACGGTTTTCCTCTTGGTTGCCCTTTGAAACCATCATGCCAACTTCCGGTCTGAGGCATTTCCCCTGACGGCCTGCGGGAGCGCCTCGCGGCTGGACGGCCCACTCTGCTGCTGGATGTGAGGCGCGGCTGGTCCACTTGCACCACGTGGGGTCTCAGTTCCTGGAGTTGGCGCCCCTTTAATTGGGGGTTGGGTTTCAAGGGAAGCCAAGAGGAACGCTGCATTTTTTTGGGGTCCCCTAGACAACAACACCCCCACATTGTGTAGCATTCGCAGCCTGGGGGGGGTTTAGCCCAAGGAGAGCATCGTTGGGGACTTCCCCGCAACCTCTCCGGAACTGCAAACTCTGTGCGGAGCCTCCCTCAAAGGGTTGGGTGAGAAAAGGCGCTTGGGAAGGAATCGGTCAGGAGTTCGAAGTCGCGCAATGTGGCCGCTCAATTCAAGGATTTTCGCTTTCGCTTGCTGCGTTCTGGATCTGTGCACACGTCCACTTCTTTCGCCCAGGATCTGCATCAGATCCGTCAATTCTGTTCAATGCTGTTTCAAGGGAAGCTACACGGAAACTTCTCTGGGAAGGCTACCTATGTTTCACAACACCCAATGATTCTCCGATTATTCGCAAGCAACGTGGGAACACTTTACCACAGACGTGTGCTTCGAGCAAGACCGCGTTTGAGGTTCACTGGTTTTGACGTAGGAAGGCTGCGGAAGCGATACCGAAAAAAAAAGAAAGCTCAGCACCGAGGCAGCCAGCGCACTTTGTGGTGACTTCCTTGCGGGGTGCGGTGAACTGGCCTCTGACGCAGATGCTCCAGCAGTCTCGCGAGGACTTGGTCCCTTGGGACTGGCATGTGTTCTCCTGATGTTTTTTCTCAGGAACGCGGTGCGAGAATGAACTCGACCCTGGAAGAGCACGGGCTGCCGGAGACCATCGTTTGCCTGTGCCGGCGGGGAGTGGACAGCCTCACTGCCACGTGACCTGGCGGGATCTGGTTCTTGGCTTGTTCTTGATCTTCGATGCGCGAAGAGCGTTCAGGATGCTGCTTCGCGATGCCAGCATTCCCGCGCTGAACCTGAGCGGAGGTTTGCAAGCGCTGGCACTGGCGGAGCCTGAGCCGCCTGCGCTGACTTGAAAGCCCCAGGCTGCTGCTCGAGACCAAACAGCTCGCTTTGCCGCGCTGTTTCGCTTCCGCAAATGCTTTGCTACGGCATAGCTGCACGTGCTGTGTGCCGTGTGGCCCGAAGCCATCAAATCCAATACCGTGATGTAGCGATTGTTCAAAGGAGCTTCAAGCTCCAGGTCACGGCCTACGAAGCACGTAGACTCTGTGGATTTCTTGACTTTGCAGCTCTTCAGATCGCCATGAGCATAGAGTGATGGAACATGGATCCAGCAGCGGGCACCATCCTCGGGTCCTCAGGTCCTCAGGCAGCTCCTTAGTGGCTAAGACTTGTGACTTGAGGTCTGGGCTGCAGACAGTGGTGCAGGCTTTGCAGCACAGGCAGGTGCAAAGAGATGCGCGCATTGAAGCGGTAATGTGGCCATGTGGCTACCATTTTGGGGTAGGTGCACCACCCATTTTTGCTTATTTTAATGGGGACTTGGATCTTCACGGGTACTATTTGGATTTTGGCCCATGGCCATGTTTCTTCATGCAGTTTGTGAACAGATGCCGATCCCTTCCGCAGGATGGACGCCTTGCAGCAGGAGGTGGCCAGTTGCCAAGAAGAGGCAGACGCCCTGCGCGAGTATTTGTCGGAGGCCGGGCCTCGAGTCACTCGAGTCACTCGAGTCACTCGAGGCTTCGAGCACTTGGGACTGAGACTTGTGCAGTGTCTAGGTGGGCGCCCTGAGCGTGGCTGGTGCCTCGGTGCCGCATGTCTCAGAATGTCTCAGACTCTGCAGTTTGATATCTTACCCCTTGGCCATTAGAATTCGAGATTGACCACATGTTTGGGTACCACCAATCATCAGGCAATGCTTTTTTTCTTTGCTTTGGAATTTGGATTGTAGCTTAGATGGCGCCACATGGATTTGGCCTCCAGCGACCAACACATTGGTTATTCTAGGTGGTTCCACTTAGCCCTGGAGTTTTGTAAGGCCCTCTCTAAACCTTTATAGCCATGCGCCATGCTGGTAGAACCAAGTTTCAAATTTGTCAATGGGCTTTGGGCACTCAACGGCTCGCCATGGCGCTGCCGGAGCTGCCTGCGTGGCTGCAGGGCGAGCCCGGGCTGGAGCCAGAGGCGATGGAAATGGTGAAGCTCAATTGGGCCCTAAGAAAGGTCGGTGGACAGGAATTCCCCAACTGTCCTAACTGATGTCCAGCTCCCCATGCCACAGCTGGGCCAAAGCACCAAAGTCGGCCAGAGGACGGCGTGTACCGCCTGCCGGGGGAGTTCCAGAGCATTGCGGCCGAGGATCCAATGCGCCACACACGCGTCACGTGCGTTTGGGGCCGGGCGGAGGAGCTGCTGATCATGGCCAGGGCCGTGTGGCGAGCCCGCGCCGCGATCTATCGCGAGGCGCGCCAAAGGGCTGAAGACCGAAGACCTTTGGCGAGCCGCACCCCCGGGGCCCCCCCCGGGGCCCTTTGCTTCTTTGCCCTTTGGCTTCGATTAGAGCCAGGCCCGCACCCGGTCGCTGCAGCCAGATCCTGCCGGTGCTGCCGCTGCCACGGTGGCAGAGGTAGACTTGCCTGCTACTGTCAAAGCCTACAGGCGCCAGTTTGGTTGGCAGGCCACCAGGTTACCAGGTCACTAGGTCACCAGGTCACTGGGATGGCCTGCAGGCAAGCTTCCACGCCGGAGGAACTGTTGCCTGCAGCTGCGGCGGTGCGGAATGTCTTGTCCTGGCACCTCGGAGAATGCCTTAGCTATGTCTCCGTGCGCCAGCTGCGCAAGGCATAACCGGCTTCGCCTGGCCGTCTCCCACACATGGCCCAGGCCGAGCCACTCACGGGGCATGGGGAGATGGGGCAGAGATGGGGCAGAGATGGGGCAGAGATGCGGCAGGCCGGAGCTGGCTGCTTTGGCCCGCGCGCTGGGGGCGAGCGTTCTTCCGCCTCCCACGCCCTGCGAGTTCCTGGAGGCCTTGCCTCAACGCGCAGGCCAGGTCGGGGCGATTGGGCGACCTGAGGAGTCGCTGTGCTGGTGGGCCTTCGGCCAGCACTGCCGGGAGGATGTGCCCTGGCGTTGCAGACTGTCAGCTTTCAAACCGGAGCGATGCACGTGCTCCGAGGAATGGATTGGCCACGGATATTTTTGGCGCCCTATGCCTGTAGAAGCTGCAACGGACCCTGACTGGAGGCTGGAAAACGCAGCTGGCAATGATCCACGGCTGAAAGCAAGAAAAGAGAGAAAGGTGTCATGTTGTCAGGTCGCTTAATTGCTCTCATTTAGCTTCAAAAGAAGCGGGAGATGGTCAATTTTGGAAGGACATTCGTGGTCGAAGCATTTCGGCCCCTCATTTGGCGCCAAGGCAATGCAAGACTTTGACGTGCTGGAGGATCGCTTCTGGCGCTTGGAAAGCGCCAAAGTGCTGGTGGCCGACTACGAGCTTTTACGGCGGCACTTTGGGCTTCAAGGCGAAAAAGTGGTTGGGATACTCCCCGGCAGTTCAGCAACCCAACACCCTCCCATGTGTAGAGGAATCTCCTTTTCGGGGGACCGCTTCGGGTTCCATGTCAATCTTCAAAAGAGATAGAGGCGATGTTGCTCCAGGCATGTCAAACGAGCAGCTGGACGCGTGGCTGTTGGAGGACGATGCCGTATTGACTGGTTCCCCATCATCCGACATCAACATTTGCACAGGAAACAAAACCACTTGCCATGTGTTTTTTTCAATCGAACAGCTGTTCTGAAAGGGCGTCTTTCCTTTTTTCCCCCATAGCCTTCAGCTATCTGGGGAAATACGTTCCATGTTTTTCAAATTCTCCACGGGCGTTTCTCCTTTTTGTCTTGGGCGTCCCCCTTTGAAAGCGGTGTCTTCCCCAGGAGGCCGCTTGGCTGTCCGAGGGCCAAGTCCGGCGGCTCAGCGGCAGCTCGCTGCAGGGCCGGGGCCCGAGGCAAGCCTTCCTTGTGCCCAAAGTCTCCAATGGCCTGCGACATGTCGGAAAAATCGGTCAAATGGGCTATGGGTCACAATAACTCCACAAGGGGACCGCAGGTTGTGGTCCACGTTTCCATTTACCTGGGCGCCATTTTGGGATCACCCTAGTTTTGACCCGCAACCAAATCTGTTCCTTAGCCTCCCATCTCTCGAATTCCTCCGCAGCGCCCGCTGCGAGGCGCCTCCTTCGGGCCGGCGCGGCGCGCGGGCCTTCGCCTGCGCAGCGGCGGCCGCGCCGCCACCTTCCTTGTGCGGGACGCCTACCGCGGCCCGGCGGGGGGTGAGCCGCTGGCAAGCGAAGTTGCATTGCTCGGAACCACGGCTGGACGTGGCAAACCCCAAATTTTGAGGTCCAAGGGACACCCAAGCCCCGGTGAAGTGCTGGCTTCACTGACTTCACTGCCATGAATTTTGACAACACCATTCACAAATGGTGGAAATGAAGTCAGATTTGATATCCAGAGAGTTCCGCGGGCGGACAACGAGGAAGACAACATGATTTCTTGTCTTCTCACGTGCGAGCTACGAAAGCCCCTAAGTCGACCAAGAAATCAAAGGCCTATGAGTCGCCCAAGGCATTGATGAGCACGGGACCTTCCATGCGGACATGCTGGATGTGAAAGGGCTGGGCACCTCGTTCTTTGGCTTTCGGCATGCGCGGCATATATTTTGCTGGGTTTTTTCAGACCAGGCACCCACAAAAGCGCAGACATCAGCTCGGAGAAGGTGACGGGCTTGTCTGGACTTGCAGATGCCTTGAGGCCCCCGGAGTCAAGGCCAGGCAAGGAAACCCTTGGGCGCACGTTGTTCAGGGAGCTCTGCTTCCAGCGCCTGATCCAACGACTTCTGGAGCTGGAGGGTTTGCACGAGGTCTGGGCTTATGGCCTTGTCTTGGAGCTTCCTTGCCTCAGCTTCCTTGCTTCAGCTTCAGCTTCTTCGGCTTTCAGGCCATGGGCACTGTTCCCTTCTATGCCATTTTGGACACTGGCTTGACCTACACCGGCATCAATCCTGCGACGGGATGGACCGGCGAGCGTTGTGTGCTTTTGGCCGCCCGGCAAAGTGGCACGGAGAGAATTCGCCTGAATGCAACGCATGTGGCTAGGTCAGACAGCGGCAGTCTCGCCTCTTTGACTCCTATGAGGGCATGAACTTTTCAGGCGCAAGCGCAGGGTCCAAGTCACAGGAACTTTGGCACGGCTCTTGGCCTAGGCGTTTGCCCAGAGGCCGTTCATGCTCATGGCCCCGGCCGGATCCTGCGCCGAGTGCTTCACAGCCACGCGGAGAGAAACGGTCCAAAACGGTCCCACACACATCCGATGACAAAGCTGCAAACGTTCAACATGTTTTCCGTCGCTTGCTTGCAAGAGAAGCACGCGCTTGCAGAGACCGTGGTTGAGGTTGGGGCATCTCTGCAGAATTCGAGCCCCGCGCCGCCTTCCACGAAAACATGGAAGCGCTGTTGGAAGATCAAAGCGGCACCTGGAACCTGCAGGACACGCTACCCGGACAGAGTGCGAACGAGAGAGTGAGATGTTAAGCTACAGTGAGTGCATGATACAGTTGCATGTGCACTACGCTGGTAGTTGATCCATACTGCAGGCCTTGAGCCTCACTACCGCTGGAGAGGAAACAAGGGCTGCGGCAGACTACATTTGTTTGTGACAAAACTTACACAGCATTTGCACTTGTATTTTGACGTGGTAGCGGAACTGAGATCCTGCCCAAAGGGGAGCTCCAGTAGTAACGACTACAGCAGCACCCCAGTATGCCCAACTACTACGACATGACAGCAGGAGATCAACAGGCAGCATCAGCAGGCATACCACCAGCACAAACTACAGGGACAACAGGTGCAACAACAACAGCAGCACAGGCAGAAAGCGATGTGCAGAGACTACACAAGTACAAACTACCACCACCATACTTCAATGGCGACTACTCCAACTACGATGAATGGAGACTCAAGCTACAAACCTACTTGGGACTTCTCGACAACGAGTTCGACCAAATACTACGAGCAGCAGATGTAGCTACAAACACAGTGGTAGACCAACACCTGATCAATGAGGTACTACCTGACACTGCAAGAGGCAACGCGCTCGTCAACCTTGCACGTGACCTACACTACATCCTCATCAGCATCTGTCAAGCAGCGCCTACAGGTCAGACAAAACTGCTACACAGCCAACGGTTGCGAAACACTACGACTTTGAACAACCGGTTCAGCCTACCAGTTGGTACAAGAAGTGTTGGCTACTTGACTAAACTATTGAAACCTTCATTCAGCGAACAACATGAGCGCGGCAACGGAGCAGCGCTACTAGTGGAGAAAAGATTGCAGTACCTACAACAACATCTTCAACTACGAGCTGGAACAATGACTACCTACACGGCAGTGCGTGATGTGGTGGTCGAGTACTACAAGACCATCTCGGCATTTTCCAAGATGAATGCAGCTACATCATCAGCCGTTGGCAGCAACTACGGAGGTGGACCAGCAGCAAAGGACGTTGACAACCTGTGGAAGAAAGGAAGCTACAAGGGACGACGCACAGGAGGCAAGAACTTGCAAGAGACCTCGCAGCACCTACAGAGCTTTCCAACAAACGAGTCAAACACTTACTACGCTACCTTCAAGGAACCAAGCGCTACAAGTTCATACTACAACCAACCACCACACTCAACTGACACCAACAACTGCCTCGGCCTCGAGATCTACGTTGATGCCGATTGGGCAGGATGCCC